TGTGGAGCCCTGGGAAGGAGTGAGCCAGGCAGGGCAGAAAGGGGTGTCCTCTCCTTCCTGCCCACAGCCACACCCTGGCCCTGGGCTGGAAGAAATGAGCTCACACCAGAGCCTGGGCAGGTGAGCAGGAGGGGGGGGCGGAGCAGGAAGGGGAAAGAACAGGCAACACAGAAGGGAGGAGGACAGGCAGGTGGAGGCCTAGTGCCAGAGGCCAATCCCAGGAAGGCAGCCAGAGCAAGGCAGGCTCAGCCCCCCAGCCCCCACCCCCCAACCATGGCCACAGCCCCAGGGACCCCGAACCTGGTGGCATCCTGGTTTGAGAGACAAGCACACATGGCCTGCATGGCCTGGAAACCAGGAGGGAATGCGGTCACCAGCTCCCCCTCCAGCCCTGGGCAGCCCATCCCTGCCACCGTCTGCTCCGTTCCCAGGGGTCCAGGCCTCCAGGGTGGGCTCCCCCTCGCCCAGCTAGCAAAGGACAGGACCGGTTCCGGCCCATGTACAGTGACTGCCTCTCCCAGAGTGGAGCCAGCATGCCCGCCCCCACCCCATCTCACACAAAAGGTCGGAATTCCACCTCCTCCAGAGATCATGCTAGCCATGCCCGCGCCCCCTGGAGAATAACTCGGGGAGCTAGCAGAGGGCCTCGAGAACCCCCATTCTTTGCAGCCTCCCTCAGCAGCACCCCCTCCCACACCGCCCCACCCCGCCCGAAGAAAGCATCCCTCTCTGGAGCCCTCATGAACTTCGTGTCTGACCTTTGCTCACCTGCTCCGCGGCGGGGATTATCTTATCGCTCAGGTGGACTGTGAGCGCTCCAAGGGCAGGGGCAGTGCCCACACCCCAGCCGCCCTCGCCCACCCGTCCCCAGGGTGTCCGTGAGGAAAGCCTCAGTTCTCAACCACGGAGAGCAAATCCTTGCCAACCGGTGACCGACTGCCCGCTTCCGCCTCGATAACCTCTAGTCCACCCCACCCCACCCCACCCCACCCCCGCCCCGGGCGGCGAAGGGGGAGCCAGGTCCTGTCGGCCTGGACTTGCTCCTCCGTCCCTTCCTCTCTGTCCACCTGGGGGTGGGCCCCCCTCCTGCACCCAACCAAGGCCCAGCGATCCTCACAGCAAACACTCCTCCTGGAACAGCAGGGCCCCAGCCCGCCAAGCGCTGGGCGAGGGATGAAAGCGCCGGGAAAGGAAGGGACCCCGATTCCTCCTCCAGGGGACAGCCTGTCACTGCCCCCCCCCCCCCCCCCCCCGTCATCAGGCAGCCCGTCTCTGCTGGCCCCCCACCCCTAAGGCACCCTCACAGCCCTCAGGAGACCCCGCTCATCGCAAACCCCAGATCCGAACCGTCTCCTTCCGGATGAACCGAGGGAACCTGAGCTCGGCGGGGACCAGCCCCCCCACGCCGCCAGGCTCCTGACCCCCCTGAGGATGCGCAGATGCAGGAGGGTCTGCAAGCGGGGCTGCTGCCGGCTCCCCTCGGCGCCCCCGCCTGAGTGACCCCGGCAGGCGACCTGCACCCCTAGGCCTCAGTTTCCCTGTGGGCGCCCCAGGGGCACCCCTGGCTACGCGAAGTCCGGGGACCAGGCTCTCAGGCTCGGAGCTGGCGCTGCCGCGGCCATGCCCCGGAACAGGGAGGGTCGCGGGGGCCTGGGTCAGGGGTCAGAGGTTATGAGTCAGTGGCACCGCTCACCTTAGGTCCCAGGAGCCGCTGCCCACATCGGCGTCTCGGCCCTTGTCCTTCTCGGGGGCCGGGGCCGGCGCATCCCCCCCGGCGCCCACGTCCCGCACTTCTTCCTCCGCTGCCGCGGGGCCGCCGCCGCCGCCCTGGCTCGAGGTCCGCGACCCCGTCCTCCGGCGCCGGGAGCCGCCTGCGCCGCCGCGGTCGCTCATGATCCAGCCCGCACCTCGCCGCGGCCGAGTCGTAGCCCGCCGGGCTATCCGCGCCCGAGGCCCGCGGTCCCGCCTCTGGACCCAAGGCCAACTGCCGCCGCCCCCTGCCGGCCGCCGTAGCCCACGCGCCGCCCGTGCCGCCAATCAGCGCGCGCCCGCCAGGCCTGCCCGTGTCCGGTAGCCGGGTCGCTCCGGGAGCCGCTCACTGGCGGGCTGGCTCGGCGTGCACCCATTTGTAGTCCGCGGGCGCGCGGGGCACTCTGGGAGTCGTGGTCGTCCGTTGCGGGGCACCCTGGGAGTTGTAGTTTCCCGGCGCGGACCGGAGCGCGGAGGACTTTGCTCCCCACAGCTTGCTGGCAGCTGTGCGCCGCCTGGCCGCTGGGCTGCCCCACGGCCCCCTCCGCAAAAACAGGCGCGGAGTGTGGGGACGGAGGTTAGTGATGAAACTCACGGTGCGTTACCGTCCGGCCGCCGATCGATCGGAGCCCTGTCAGTGGGAGCTCGCCTCGCCCACCCCCCAGCGTGTCGGTTCCGAGAGCGAGAGCGCACCTTGCGGAGCACGACTGTGGATTCCACCCCGGGCACCAGCTTTTCCTCCGCGTGGGTTGTCAGACACGCGCCAGGCCAGAGAATGGAGCGGGAGAAAGTCCCAGGTCCCGTGTCCCCGGGACGCCCGCCCAGCCCGCCCGTGGATTCCCAGGGCCCGGCTGGGGCAGGGAGACGGTGCTGACAAGCGGAGTAGGCACCCCCTCCACCCGGCCTACCTCCGGCCCGCGTCCGCAGACGCGCGGGGCCGCCCCCGTTTCTTACCTGGGCCAGTTTAGCCAGGGAATGCCGAATCTCAGGGGGGGGGGGGGGGGGCGGAGGCTTCTGTGTCGTTGTATAATCTGCAATCGCCCCTGTCCTTAAATGAAACTAAGCCACCGTGACCACCACAAAATGCAGCCCGTGGGCAGGCAAGCCCGCGTTCCACCTCGGCTTAGCCCTCATCTCTCATGGGGCACGGAATGCGAGCATCCTGGATCTCGAGGTTCGGGGCTTCCTGGGGGCTCAGGCCTGGTTTACCTAAAAAACACCTGTAGCAAGCTCAGGTCAGCGGCCTCCCCGATGGGCCTCGCTCGCCCCTGCACCACCCCCTCTGCTCCGGCACCCAGTTGTCGTAGAGGTGGTGGTGCTGCCACTGGACCTTCTGGGGCTGATGCCAGCCTGGCATCCCTAACTGGCAGGTATTTTTTTGTTTTTTAAACTTTTATTTTTAAAAATATATATTTTTATTGATGTCAGGGAGGAAGGGAAAGGGAAAGACCGAAACATCAGTGATGAGAACCACTAATGGGCTGCCTCCTGCATGGCCCCCACTGGGGATTCAGCCACAACCTGGGCATGTGCCCTTGACCAGGAATCAAACCGTGGACCCTTCAGTCCGAAGGCCAGCGCTCTATCCACTGAGCCAAACCGGCTAGGGCTCATCATTGATATGTCTCTCTCCCTCTCCCCTCCCCTTTGAAATCAATAAAAAAAATTTTTTTTTAAGTGAAGGATCGTGTTGGTGGCCTAATAACTATGTCCACATCCCAGCTGCAAGCAGTCAGCTGGCAAGTGGCGACAGAAGGTGACCAGAATGGACGGGGATGGAGGGGTGGTTGGGGGGGATGGATGGGGGAGGGGGAAGCCAAGGTTCCCACCTTGAAGTTGAGGGCCAGGAAAGCAGGGCCAGGAGCCAGTGGGAAGGCACGGACTTCGAATGCACCAAAAAGGAGGAACCTCCTCAGATCCCCCAGGAGCAGGGCCCATGTAAGCCCCACCCTGAGCAGCTGGCCTCAGGGTTCTGACCTGCTGCTGGGCAGGCTCCCTGCTGTCCACCTGAGGGAATGTGGGTGGGCCCATCCCCTGCCAGTGTGGGCGGACCGGGCTTCCCCTTGGGCCTCTCCGCTCATACCTGCCTGTCTAAGTGTCTCGGGGCATGTGGGGCAGGTGATCCCTGTCCCCGGGCTGTCCCCACCCAGCACAGCCCCCACCCTCATCTCCTCAGCTTGACTCGTCCTCTCCAGGCTGAGGGGGCTGTGGGTGCTGGTGGAAGCCTCTATGACCCTGGGAACTTCCTCCCCAGAACCATGGAGGCCTCCTCGGATGGGGGAACCTGTCCCCTGGGTCGGAGGGTCAGGATGTGGGTAGCAGGCTGCAGGAAGGGATCAGACCTCGCACCCTTGTCAACTCCCCTTTTCTCCACTGGCATCAAGAGGGCTTGCTGGCAGCTGCCGGGCTTGCCAGGGCAGCAGGAACCACCACAGGGAGAGTGGGGGCACCTCAGGTCATGGGACTCCAGGCCCTGCTGGACCACTCGGGCCATTCTAGAACCGCCCTGGCTTCATGCTGGAAGCTGGAGCTCCTCCAACTCCTGGCAGAGAGGAAGTTTACCTGCCCCGGGAGACGTGACAGATGCTTTGCCTTGGGGGGCAGGGGAGGGGTTGCCCCTGGGGCTTATAAAGACGGTCTTGCAAAAGGGGACACGAGTGGACACAGACATGGGTTGCACCATAGCAAAAGGCAGCAGCGTGCCCCCAGGGCCATGTGAGCAGGCTGCTTGCCACTCCCTGAGCCCTGCCTTGGCCTGTCCACCCGCCCCCACCCGGCGACATGGCCAGCACCCCCTGCAGTGCGGGTCCAGCCCCGGACACACCAGCCGACACTCCAGTTCTATCAAGAGTGGCGTTTATTCTCCTCGTGGAGGTGCGGCGCTCCGGGGAGCTGGTGCTATTGTGCTTAGGAAGGAGGTCTGTCCGTCCGTCCGTCTGTCCGGCCGGCCCGGCCCCAAACGGGGGCGGAAGAGGGGCGCGGCCCGAGTAAAAATCCCGGCCTGTTCCGGGTGGGAGTATGTACAAGGCGGCGGGGCGCAGGCGGGGGTGGAGGCGGGGCGGGCCGGCGGCCACAGCCCCCACCCGAGGGCCCCCGCATCTCGGGCCCTGCTCTTAGAATCAGTACAAAATAGGTGCTACCTAAACGTTCCTTCTACCTGAATTCGCTAAGTCGGTTATTGTGCTGCTTAGTTATGGGGGCAGGAGGGGGCCCATGGCTTTCCACGGCGGGGCGGGGGCGGGGGGGGGGGGGAGCAGGAGGCTCTGGCGGCCACTGCCTCCGGCCTTCTCCCTAGGTAGGTGGACAGGCGTGGGGGGAGGCGAGGCCTGTGTGTGCATGTGCATGCGAGTGTGCCCGGCACAGGCGGGCAGGCCCCAGCTTGGGAGCTGTGTGGGCATCGACCTGGGATGTAGGGGCTGGGGATGTGGGCCCTGCTCTGCTGGGCCCTCGGGTGGGCGCCTGCGAAGGCAGCTGGGCGGCAGCGGGGCTGGGGCCCTCAGGGATGGGGCTGACCAAGTCCTAGGCACCAGCCTGCACCTTTCCGGTTGGCCTGGGGCCCTGTCCCCACGGGCAGAGCCAGCAGAGCCAGGGCATGGAAGTCCTGGGGTCAATGTGGGCAACCTCGGGGCCTGGTGTTTGCCCCGAGTCAGGCCCCAGTCAGAGGCAGAGACTGACTGCGCCGAGCACTGGCCCGGGGTGGGAAGGTGGGGTGCGGATTTGGGTTTAGGGATCCGGCCTCTCTCTTCGCCTCTACCACTGTCCCTGGCACACCCCAGGGCGCTGGGCCCCGTCACAAATAGGCCACCCCCGCAGGTCGCCCAGGCCCTGGCAGACTCGGCAATGGGCCTGGCACATAGGAGGGACCCAATGCCCGCTCAGTGGGTGATGAACAACTGAAGGAGGGGTCCTGGGGGAACCCCCTGACACCATTACACCGCCGGGCTCTGCCGTGGGGGGTGGGGGCAGGGAGGGGGAGAAAGGCTGCGCGTCCGGCCCCGCGCAGCATCCCTGATCTAGGGGCCTATGGGGCAGGAGGGCGGGGGATACCTGATTCTCAGTAACTAGAGGCGGCGGCAGCTTCGCATGCAGTGCGCATTATTGCTCTATAGTCGGCTTCGGACTAACTAAGAGGAGGAGGGAGCGGGCAGCCCCGGGAAGGGACGGGAGGAGGGGTGGGGCTGCATGCAGTGACGTCACAAAGGCGGCGGCCAATGGGGCGGGCCCTTGGGGCGGAGTCGCCGCCGAGGCTTTGGCATAGACGGGCGAAAAGTTGGCAACCGAGTGGGGCAGGGTCTGGGGCTCGGGGGCGGGACCGGCCTCCGAGAGGCGGGGCCTGAGGCTCCCAGGAGGCGGGGCCCGTGGCCGGGGAACGTGGCCCTGGACACCCCAAGCCCCGGGCGTCGGCGGGAAGGATGCGCCTCAGCGCCCCTTCCCTGACCCGAGTGCAATCCGTTCATAAATAAAACGTAAAATACAGAAAGGAAAACCCGACGCATCTGCACCCCGGGGGCTTTACCCGCAAAGCGAATACAGAGAGGTGTGTGGGGGCCGCCCAGGCCTGCCTGCTGGGCCCCGGGAGTCCGTCCTCCAGTGCGGACACCCCGGGGGCGAGGGAGGGGACCCCGGGGCAGGACGGGGGCGGGGCTGAGAGGTCGGAGAAGTCCATGCGATTCGATATGCGTCATTATATTCGATATGGAGGACAGAGCCCGGGAAGCTGGGCTGGAAGAATTTGATTTGGCAGAGAATGCGAGGCGAGGGTGAGAGAGCGGCTCGGATTGAGGCCCCAGAAGGAACCCGAGGGGGAAGGGTGCCGCTGTCCGCCTCCCTCCCCGGCCCCCCACGCGCCTAACACTCCCGGGGGTCAGCGAAGACTGGGGAGCAGGGAGCTTCCGCGGGCCGAGCTCCTGCTCCTGCTGGGCCTGCTGCTGGGGAGGGACCGGCTCCCTGGGCGTCTAGGCCGCGGGCCTGGCCCCGGACGGCTCGGGAAGGGGTGGGGAAGACCTGAGTCTCTGCGACGCGATCCGGGGTGCCGAGGAGGGAGGAGGGGCGCTCCCGACCTCACCCCGCCCCCGTCTTCAGAAACCTAAGATGAGGTTCGGTTCTGGGTCTCCTCGACCCTATTGCTGGGGAAAAGCCTGGGGCACCCTGGAGGGGAAGGGAGGGAGCTCGGGGTGGGTCTCCCCTGGGGACCCTATTGCTTGAAGGGGCCGGCCAGGCCCCTGGCGAGCGGGGTGGGGCCCCCTCCCCCTATTGCTGTGGGAGGGGCCCGCCCTCCGGCCCCGCCCCCCGAGCGCCGGCGGAGACTTCTCTGGGGCTCGTATTGCTGAGAGCCACCCCGGCCGACGGGGGCGCCGCCGCCCTAAGCCTGCACGGGGCTGAGCTGCGGCGGCGCGGCCGGCGCCGGGGCCGCGGGGCCGCCGCCGCCGGGGCCGCCCTTGAAGCAGGCCGACTCGTAGTGCTTGTTGAGATAGGACTTGAGCGCGAAGCTCTTCTTGCAGCGCTTACACTGGAAGTGCTTGAAGGCCGAGTGCGTCTGCATGTGCGCGCGCAGGTTGGAGCGGTCGGCGAAGGCCTTGCCGCAGTGCGCGCAGCCGAAGGGCTTCTCGCCGGTGTGCGAGCGCATGTGGCCCTGCAGCAGCCAGGGCCGCGAGAAGGCCTTGCCGCACACGCCGCACTTGTGGCGCAGGTCGTGCGTGAGCAGGTGCATGGCCATGGCCGGCATGGACACGTACACCTTGCCGCACGTCGGGCAGCGCCGCGCCAGCTGGCTGTCCAGGCTGCGGTGCGTCTGCTTGTGGCGACTCAGGTTCGAGGACGTGGCGTACGTTTTGCCGCACTCGCCGCAGGCGTGCCGGCCCCCTGAGCTGCCGGCGCCGGCCCCCGGCCCTGCGCGCGCCTCGGGGCCAGCCCCCGCACGCGCGCTGCCTCCCCGGGCCCCCGACCCGGACCCCGTCGCGCGGGACCCAGCCGCGGCCCCGCCTCCTCCGTCGCCGTCGGAGGCCAGAGCCGAGGCCGTGGAGGGGGCGGCGGCGCTGGCGTGGGCGGCCTTGCGGCGCGAACGCCCGTCGGTGATGAAGAAGGTGTCGGCCGCATAGCCCTCGCTGACCGCCGCGTCGCCGTTGATGTAGCCGCCCGCGGCCGTGGCCAGCTCCGGGCGCGGTGTGGGCGGGGGCGCCGAGCCCGCGGCCGCCGGGCCCAGCTCTCCCCGCACGGCCGCCGCGTACATGGGTTCCGGGGATGGCCCTTTGAGCAAGGCCGCCTCGGCATCGCCATCGTAGACGGAGGTGGGCCCCGCGTAGTCGCTGAGGTATCCTGCAAGCCGAGGCGGACAGCAGGACAGGAACCAACCGGGCAGCGGAGGAGACACCGGGGTCCAAGGAGAAGGACAAAGGGGAAGGGGCCGAGGGACCAGGGGGCAGGGAGGATGGAGGCGGCGGGGAGGAGAGATGAGAGGAGAGATGAGACCGAGCCCAGCTGGGCCCCACCCCACCGCCCAGGGCCCCACCCTCGCCGGGAGGAGGAGGCCCCCCTCTGCAGCGCCTCAAGGTCAGGGGGGAGGGGCGGTGCTTCCCTCGCCCTCCTTCCCCGTCCCGCCCCTCCCCCTCGGGTTCTCCCCACTTCAGCAGTTTTCTCTGATTATGCAACACACTGCAGACCCGCAGCGCACAAAGCCAGGGCTGCCCGCCCAGGGACCCCGTCACCACCGCCTCTGGGGGTTCCCACTGGCTGCGGGGGGAGGGGGGGGGCAGAGCCTGCAGCCAGCCTGGATGCTGACCCTCTCTTGTCCCCTAAGGCCCCAACAAGCCTTGGAGCCCTGTACCCCGCAGGCCCTCCAGCCCTCACTCGCACCACCTCTCATCTCCCCAGGCCCCAGGCCCTGGACCCCTGGATGTGACCCCTTTGGCTCCAGCCCTATTCTCCTCCTTCCATCTGCTCCTCCCCGCAGTCCTTGCTATACCCTGCACCCCTGGGTCCTACCTTGCTCCTCACCACTCACTTCCCCCAGGCCTAACCCCTGTGGGGGCCTCCCTAAGCCAGGCCAGCAGCCCGGGCAGGTGTCCACCAGGGGACACCTTCTCAGGGACAAGCTGCAGGCAGGTTGGCATTCATACTGGAAACTGCAGTTCTCAGGCATAAGATGGTTCTCACAACCTCAGTCACAGTGCACACCCCACACGATGCAGGCTCTGCTCTTCAGGGGGACACCAGCCACTGTCAACCCTGGGGTCCCCTGATCCTGGAACGCATCACCCTATAATGCGAGGTCACACATGCAGCCCCCCCCCACCTCACATGAGCTCCGCCAGGGTCGCCGGTCACATGGGTGCACAGCGGCCCCCGAATCACAGGGTCCCTTGGAGGGGCACACAGGCAGGTACACTCTCATACAGGGTCACACACACGCACAGTCACATGGCCACACGCAGTCACATGGGCGCACACAGGCACACACACACAGGCTCCTGTTTCCTGCAGGTCACACTGGTTCTGCCACCCGTGTGCTGGCATCCTGGCCGCCCGCATGCTAACAGTTGTCCTTGAACTTGGGCTCCCTCACACAAAGAGCCTCCCCAGCTCCTCGCAGCACTCTGGGCCTCCCTTGCCCACCGCCTGCCTACCCACCTCCTTCCTCCTGACCCTGGCTGCAGGGAGGATGCTGCCGCCGCCCCTGCCAGTGCCGTCTCCTTGACAGGTGGGCAGTCCCCACTGGACCCCGTGCCTACTCCCTGCAGCTCACAGAACTCCCTTGCTGGCCCTATCCTGCTGTTCTGGAGGGGTCGCCAAAGCAGAGAGGCAGTACGCCCAGGCCTGGGTTTCTGGGTGTGGGTCTGCATGCACTCCTAGGTCCTGTCTGTCAGCAGGTGTCCACGCCGCCTGGGCCGTGGTGCAGGTCATTGTGCACCTTCAGGCACTTGCTGGTACCGACCCCAATTCCCCATCCTCTCTCTGGCATGGACACGGCCCCTGCTGGGCCTGAGGCCAGCTCGGGCCTGTCCCTGCGTTTGCCTCTCCCCAACCCCCATCTCTGTCCACTCCACCTCCCGCTGGTCTGCTTCCCGTGGGTCTCTTTTCTGGGGCCCCTGCCCCTCCACCCCTCCCAGCGTCAGCTGGTGGCCAGGCCGCCCCGGCCTCGGCCGGCGCCCACCTTTCTCCTGCAGCCGTGCGCCGAGGTCGCCGCGGGCGCGCCCGTAGGAGCTCTCGAGGTCCGCCGAGGAGAACGTGTCAAGTTTGACCTTCTTGACCAGGAAGGACCTGGGCATGGTTTCTGCGGGACTCCGGCGCTGCGGGCCTGCGGAGCCGGGGCGTGGGGGGGCTGCGGCCGCGGCGAGGCCCCGTCACCATCCAGCAGCGCTGCAGGCGGCCGGATCCCCACGCTGGCCTCGGGAGCTGCCGCCCGAGCGAGCGCCGTCCTCTGGCCTCCTGCCTCCGGCGCTTCCTCCTCGGCTCCTCCGGATCCTCTTCGGCTTCCTTCCCTCCCTCTTCTCTCTTCGCTCCTCTTCCTTCCGTCCTTCCTTCCTTCCTTCCTTCTTCCCTTCCTTCCTCCCTTCCTTCCCTCCTCTGGTCCCGGCTTCCCAGCCCGCAGTGCCGCCCCTGGACAGGCGGGGGAGGAGGCTTGGGGGTGGGAGGGGGGGAGCGGCTCCGTCCCGGGCCCGGAGGCTGCGAGTGGGTGCAGGGCTGGCCCGGCTCCGCAGCCCCCGTCCCCTCCCCCCCGCCACCGCGGCGGAGCCTCAGTCAGCGGCCCCCCATGCCCCCAGGGGCGGCGGCGCCGGGCCCGGAGAACGCGGCGGCGGGAGCGGCGGCAGCTTCAGCACCGCGGCCAGCGCCGGCCCGGCCAGCACCTCGGCCAGCGACCCGGCGCGCTCTGCGGCGCGGGCGGCGAGGGGCGGGCGCAGGGCCTCGGCCGGGCGGGGGTCCTCGGCGGGGGTCTCTGGGAGGCTCGCTTTATTGTTCTGCAGCCCGAGCGAGCGGCGGCGGCGTTGGCGGCGGGCGGGGGGCGGGGGTCCTCGGGGGGAGGGGTGCGCGGGGAGGGCGGGCCGAGGGAGAGAGGGAGGGAGTGACGAGGCTCGGGGGCGGGGCTGGGCGCTCGGACAGCTCTGAGCCTGGCCTCCTGCGCCCGCGGCGCCTCTGCCTGCGGCCCGGCCCAGCCTCTGGCTTTTAAAGCCCAGCAGCTGCGGGAGGGGTAGGGCGCGGGACGGAAATGGCTGCGCGGGGCCGGCCCGCCAAGGCCTCCTGGGAAGGGTCCTCGGAATGCCGCGGCTCCCGCATTGTGAAGTTCCCCGTGCAGCTCCGGGAATGGAGGCCCGGCGGTCGGCGGCATTGTCCGGGGTGGGGGGAGCGGGGGAGATCGGCCTGGGACCCACGAGTCCCGGCCTTGGGGTCTTTCGGGAAGGAACGCCAGGCAGCTGGGCCGGACGACCTCGCTTTCAGATGCCGAGGCCGGGGATCTGCGGGGGCGGGTGGGGGAGGCGGGAGGCGCGGGAGCGGATGCTGAGGCAGCGAAAGCGCAGTGTGGACGCTCTGCGCGCGCCTGTGCCGCAGTGTCTCCCTGCCACCCGGTCACCCGGGCTGACCCCGTGCCCGCTGGAGCGGCCTCCCTCCATCCCGTCTGTGTCCCCGAGCGGGGCGCAGCGAGCGGGTTGTGGAAGGGAAGAGGGGCTGCCATGCCCTTGCTTATTGGTGATTTTCCGCCCTTCGGCGCGGCTGCGGCTCACCCCACTCCCCCAGTCCCCCCTCGGCCTCGCAACCAGGCGGATACCCTTCCCGCGGCCGCCCGCCCAGGGTTCGCAGCCCCCATGACGTTAGGCCGGTGGCCAATGGTGGGGCGCGAGGGTGCGGGGCGGGGGGTGCGAGCCGCACAATGGCCGCGCGGGGACATATGTCCCCTCTCAGGGTTCGGCGCTGCCATTGTCTCCGCCCCCATGGGGGCCCGGGGGTTCGGGTCCCCCTGCGGCCCACTTTCTCGGCGACCAAGGTCGCAGGGGTGGCTGCGGGGGCAGCGCCGGGTGAGGCCGAGCCTGCGGCGCGTGCACCTGTCGGTGCGCGCGGTGACCTTGTGGGGCCCCGAAGCGCGCGGCGGGCGGGCCACGCGGGGGCGCGCAGGCGGGGGCGCGCGGAGAGTGCTGAGCTCAGCGCCTCGCCGCCGCCTGCGCGGCGCCCCGCTTCCTTCCGCATCTCCGCCCCAGAGCCGTGCTGGGTGGATTCGGGCCAGGCCGCTTTGTGGCCCGCGACCCCGGCCGTGGCAGCGGCGGGACATTCATCTTGCGTGGCAGGTGCTCCCGAGGGGCGGGGGCGGGGCGCAGTCGCCCCCTTATCGCGGAGCCGCAGCCGGAGCTGTCCGAGGTGGGGGCGGGGACTAGCATCCTCCCGGGGGGCCGGCCGAGGCGCAGCCGGAGACCCAGGGCCAATTAGCATTTTGATTGCGGGACTGGGGGCCCATCTGGACCGAAGCCTAATTATGGGGCGAACCCTCCAGGTGCCGGCGATACGTGTCCGGCTCAGCCCCTCTCCCCGCGCGCCCAGCCTCCTCGGGACGATCGGCCTCCATCCCAGCTGCACCCCGACCCCAGTCCTCCTGCCGCTGGGTCCCTGTCCTTTGTCCCTCCCTCGTCACCGCTTTTGGATCGACCTTCGCTCTCCCCCGGTTTGGGTTTCTGCCTTCGCTAGCTGTGCACGTCCCTGCCTCTCAGTCCATGTCCGCAACCACGCGGCCTCCAACCCTCTGGGAAGAGGAGGCGTCAGAGCTCCCACACATGGGTCCCGCGGCCAGTGCTCCCCAGGGGACCCTGTGCGGGCCCTGGTTCTGGCTCCTCCGGGAGGGGGGGGGGGGGACTCTCCACGCCTGGAGGAGCCCGGCGGGGAGGGCAGCTGGGCCCAGGCCCTGGCCATCAATACGGAGCCACCTGGGTGTGGAGCGCACACGCGTCAATTACTTGGGCCTCCTTGCCTTTACAACACACCACCACCACCACCACCACCCCCCACGCAAATCCCGAGGTCCCCGTGCCCCAGTCCTAGGATCCAGCAAGGAGAGGCTGGGAAGGGACAGTTGGTGATTCTTACATTTTTTCAAGTATGTTTTCATTGATTTTTAGAGAGAGCGGAAGGGAGAGAGAGATAGAAACATCAATGAGGGAGAATCATTGATCAGCTGCTTCCTGCACGCCCTGTCCTGGGGATGGAGCCTGCAACCTGGGCATGTGCCCTGACCGGGAATCCAACAGGTTTCCTGGTCCAGGCTCGACCACTGAGCCTTGCCGGCCGGCTGATGCTTACACTTGGGAAAGTTTCAGCCCTCCGCCCTGGGAGGCCACCCTGAGCCTCGCCCTCTGAGAGCAGGAGACCCAGGGGAGAGGGGCTTTGTTGCAGGAGAGGAGGTGGGGTCCCCCGGCACCTCCTGGATGCCCCCACGGACCCAGCCTGGTTGCAGGACACTCCAGTGCCCTGGACACACCAGCTGTGCTTGGCCGCCCACCGAGCCTCCAGCCTCAGGGACTGTTCCCCAGTCCGGGTGCAGCTGGGCCCGGCCCCTTCTCCCTGTGGGATGGGAGGGATGCAGTGTTGGTTTTATGTCCCTCCGCTTCTGGGTGTGCCACCTGCAGTCCAGGGCAGGCCCCCTGTTGCTGAAAGGCTAGGCTTTGAGGGAGAGACTCCGGCCTGGCTCAGTGATTCAGTGTTGACTTATGAACCAGGAGGTCACCGTTTGATTCCCGGTCAGGGCACATGCCTGGGTTGCAGGCTCGATCCCCAGTGTGGGGTGTGCAGGAGGCAGCCGATCAATGATTCTCTCTCATCATTGATGTTTCTAGCTCTCTCTCTCTCTCCCTCCCACTTTGAAATCAATTTTAAAAATACATACTGAAGCCCTAACTGGTTTCGCTCAGTGGATATTAGAGTGTTGGCCTGCGGACTGAAGGGTCCCGGGTTCGATTCCGGCCAAGGGCACATGCCTGGGTTGCAGGCTCAATCCCCAGTAGGGGACCTGCTGGAGGCAGCCAATCAATGATTCTCATCATTGTTGTTTCTCTCTCTCTCCCCCTTCTCCCTTTCTCTCAGAAATCAACAAAGAAATATATTTTTAAAATACATATTGAAGGGAGAGACTCTGAGTCTGTGTCCCCAGCATCATGCTCCAACAGAGCCGGTAAGCCTGTGTGTGCCCACTGTGGACCCTAGGGTCACCTTCCAACCTCCTCCTGCCTGTGAGGCTCTGCCCAGCCCAGCCTGGAGGGCCCGCCCCTGTATAGCTCCCTCCCTGGCTTCCTGGTCCTCCCTTGGCTAGGAGCCTCCTTTGGCCTGGCTCCTTGACACCTCAACACCCGCCGACCCCAGCCTTTCTCTGACACAGAATGCGTGGTGGGGTGTCTTGCCTTCCTGGAAGTCCTGGTGTCCTGGGTGCCACGTGGATGGGCAGCCCCTCATCTGCTGATTCTGGCAGATCTTGGAGGTAATATAGTTACCTACACACAGAGTGCATTTTTAAAAATGTATATATTTTATTGATTTTTTACAGAGAGGAAGGGATAGGGATGGAGAGTTAGAGACATCGATGAGAGAGAGAGAGAGAAACATCTATCAGCTGCCTCCTGCACACCCTCTACTGGGGATGTGCCCGCAACTAAGGTACATGCCGTTGACCAGAATCAAACCTGGTAATGCGAACCTTTCAGTCCGCAGGCTGATGCTCTATCCACTGAGCCAAACTGGTTAGGGCCACAGTGTGCATTTTTAGTTGAGGAATGTAGCAGGGATTTTTACCACCAATACTCAGGTAAGAAAAGAGAGGCTCAGCCCTAGCTGGTTTGGCTCAGTGGATAAAGCGTCGGCCTATGGACTGAAGGGTCCTGGGTTCGATTCTGGTCAAGGGCACATGCCCGGGTTATGGGCTCCATCCCCAGTAGGGGGCATGCAGGAGGCAGCCAATCAGCAATTCTCTCTCAGCACTGATATTTCTATCTTTCCCTCTTCCTTCTCTCTGAAATCAATAAACATATATATATTTAAAGAGTGAAAGGAGAGGCTCAGGGACTTGCTAAAGAGTCCAGAGCTTCATTGATCGATCTCAAACCCAGCACTCAGGATCTCCTTTTCCTTGAAACCAGCCCCAGAAGAACCATCTGTGAAACGGGACTCGGGGTTCTGTGCAGCCCCTCCCCACTGCATGCAGCTCAGGATTCAAAATCATTGCACCGGTGCCGGAGGTCCCCCTCCAGGCCACAGCCAGGCCTGTCGCTGAGGCTGGTGCAGGTGCCGTTAACAAGAACTGGGAGGTGTGGGCATGCCTGGACCCATTTCTGCCGTCACCTTACAACCCTGCACTGAACACCCTGTGCTCTGCAGCGCTTGTTCAGGGCCAGGGCAGCAGGTGCTCCTAGAGGGCACAGTCCAGCCCAGGACAAGGAGTGGACAGTGATGGCTTGGATGATGAAACAGGAGAAGAAGGACCTGGGGTGGAGACAGGCATGGAGGGTGCTGAGGGAAACACCTGCGCAAAGGTCCTGAGGCCACCATAGTGTGTGTGTGTGTGTGTGTGTGTGTGTGCCCTAGGCCAGAGGGGAGGGGTGTGTGAGGAGAGCCTGGGGAAAGAACCACCTGAAAGGGTGAGCAGGAACAGCCCCTGGAGCTCACACAGGCTGGGAAGCTCATACCGGACCGACAGGTGAGCATTTACAAGGGTTTTCTTCACTGAGCGGGAAACTAACATGAAACAAAAACCACACTCTGAGACCTCCTAGCAAAGCTTAAACCAAGGCCGGGTCACACTGTTTCCAAGCAAACTGAGCTGCAGAGCCAACTTCAGGTGCCTTCCATTCGTTGGAAGACACCACCATGTGGAGCCCAACAGTGTAAAGTCCACATTGGGCCCCCAGTGAAAAGTCACCAGGCGTTCACAGGGCCAGGAGAACTACTCAAAACGAGGACACGAGTCAGCAATCCAATCAGAGTCAGGCCCTGGCCAGATAGCGCAGTTGGTTGGAGCTTTGACCCGATAAGCCAAGGTTCTGGGCTTGATCCCCAGTCAGGGCACAGACCAGAATCAACAAATGAATGCAAATAAGGGGAACAACAAAATCAGTCTCTCTCCCCCTTCCTCCTCTCTGAAATCAATCCATCAGTAAAATTTTTAAAAAAGATGGGGGCACCTGGGCCGGTGTGGCTCAGTTGATTGGGCATCCTTCCATGCACTAGGAGGTTGCTGGTTTGATGCCTGGTCAAGGGCACATGCCCGGTTGCAGGCTCGATCCTCGATGGGAGGCATGCAGGAGGCAGCCAATCCATGTTGCACTCTCACATGTTTCCCTCTCTCTCCCTCTCCCTCTCCCACTCTCTCCAAGTCAATAAACTATTTTAAAAAAGAGATGGGGTCACATGGACTTTGCAGACATACCGCAGCTGAAAGAACGCACCACCAGGTGACCTGCACAAGTTGCACAGGCAGAAGGACCCCAGATGAAAATCTACTCTCCGCAAAGGAAGGAAAGTACAGAAGTCGTACCACAGAGGCGGCACGCAGAGGCTTTGGGGTTTATGGCCAACGTAGGAGGGAATGTAGAGCTGGACAGCACAGCGGCCAGGAGGGCGCGAGAAGGGCATCAGTAAGCGGCTCTGGAGGTGCCACATGGCACTCAGGGCGGTGTCTCTGTCTCCTGTGCTCCGTTTCTTAGTCTTCCTTCTTTTTCGTGACCTTGGCCATTTTGAGGGGCACTGGTCAGCCTTGTAGAATGCCCCTCAGTTGGGGTGTGTCTGATGTCCTTGTGCTTAGCCGAGGGTCTGGGTTGGGAGAGGAGGCAGAGGTGAGGTGGTCATTGCATCCCAGCGGAGGGCCGGTCCTCCTGAGTGAGCCGCCACTGGTGATGCTACCTACCTCAGTCACGTGGTTAAGATGGTGGCTGCCAAGTGTTTCTACTATAAACGTACATTTTTTTTTTCCTTTTCTCTGCTCTATTCCAGCAATTTTCAACTGGTGTGCTGAAAGATTTCTTTTTTAATTAAAGGATGCTGAGAGACAGAACAACAGGGAAGTCACTTTATTTATTTTTATATTTTTAAATAGATTTTACAGAGAGGAAGGGAGAAGGATAGAGAGTTAGAAACATGGATGAGAGAGAAACACCGATCAGCTGCCTCCTGCACGCCCCACACTGGGGATCGAGCCCACAACCTAAGCATGTGCCCTGACTGGGAATCGAACCATGACCTCCTGGTTCATAGGTCCTTGCTCAACCACTGAGCCTTGCCAGACGGGCATTGCTGCTCTATTTTTTGGAAGTAAGTCACTAAATCCAGCCCACACTCAAGGTCCCCACCCCAGTTTTTATTTTTTAAATATATTTTATTGATTTTTTTACAGAGAGGAAGGGAGAGGGATAGTTAGAAACATCGATGAGCAAGAAACATCGATCAGCTGCCTCCTGCACGTCCCCCACTGGGGATGTGCCCGCAGCTAAGGTACATGCCCTTGACTGGATTCAAACCTGGGACCCTCGAGTCCGCAGGCCGACGCTCTATCCACTGAGCCAAACCGGTTAGGCCCCCCCCCCCCCCGCCGTTTTTTAAATTGATTTTTTTTAGAGAGAGGAAGGGAGTGAGAGAGAAACATCGATGTGAGACTAAAACAACTGTAGGCTGCCTCCTGCACATCCCCTACTGGAATCAAACTCGCAACCTTCCAGGGTAGGTACGACACCCCACCCACTGCACACCCCGGCCCCGCCAGTCTCATGGAAATGCTTAACTGTGTAACAGCGGGCTCCGCACCTGCACTTTGCACGGGGCCCTGCACATTGTGCAGCTGGTCCTGGTTCCAGGGACACTTCGCTAGACACAGTTCACAAAGACTGGGTCCCCAGCACGGCCGTGAGGGAGAATGCTTACCCAGAGAACCAGGTGGACAGGGCCAGGCACCACTCCTCCTAGGTCCCCATGGCCCACAGCCTTTCCCATTCTCAGCACCCGGGAGGCAGAAACACCCCCTGGACCAGCAAACGTGGCCTGGGGTCCCAGCAGACACAGACACGCGGTCCCACCCCAGCCAGTGGCGACCCCTGGGCTCCAGCTCTGCGGCAGGAACGTTGGGGCTGTCTACCTCGGGGCACAGGCTTGGACCTGCGGCCGTGCCCCATCCTGTTGCCGATTGGACCAGGAGCAGGCACCTGACCCAGATGGGACCCATCCATCTGACTCCTGGATTCTGCTCATGGGTCAGCCCCTGAGGCCAGTTCAGGCAGCTGCCCAAGAGGGGCAGCACGTCCACACCCGCCTGAGGATGGGCCCACCTCCTAGATTCTGGCCGCTCCTCCACTTCGCTCCCACCGCTGCCCCTACCTTTTTTTTTTTTTTTTAAATTATTGATTTCAGAGAGAAAAGGGGAGAGAAAGATAGAAACATTGATGATGAGAATCATGGATCAGCTGCCTCCTGCACACCCCACACTGGGGATCAAGCCCGCAACTGGGCATGTGCCCTGACCTCGAATGGAACCCTGACCTCCTGATTCACAGGTTGATACTCAACCACTGAGCCACACTGGCTGGGCCACCTCCTCACAGCAGCCTGGAGGCCCTGGGAGGTGCGCACTAGGAGAAGACGCCGAGGGGGAGCCTCCCGCACAGAGAAAAGGACCCCTAGAAGCAAGTGGCAGCTTTATTGAGAGTAGGGGAGGAGAGTGGGGGTGGAGGGTGGGAGGGGAGGGGGCATGTTGGCGGTGCAGGAGGTGGAGCGTCACACGTCCAGTTTTAACTGAGTGCCCCTGTGGGGGTGTAAGCTTTGCAGCTCGCCGCGTGGGCTTAAGGTGACCCCCAGCGGCCAGTGGCGGACCACGTGCCGGTAGGAGGTGGTCGGGAAGTCGAAGTAGTTAATGTTGAGCTGCCGGGCGATGTGCCGGCCCAGGAATTCCATTTGCTGGGGGAGCGAGCGGGCGGTGCTCAGCTCTCGCCGGGGCAGGAGCGGCCCCGCGGCCGCCACCCCCCTGGCCAGGCCGCAGGTCCAGCCTGGTGGTCATCCCCAGCGCCCTCCCCGCCGCCCGCTGCAGCGCACAGGCCAGGCCGAGACCGCCTGGGAAATGGCGCCATCGGAAGACCGAGGCCGTGGTCAGCGTCGCGTGGAGCGCGGGGGAGAGAGGACAGGCCGGGGCCGGGGCGGGACCCACCTCGTAGCGCTCCGACAGCTGCACGAGGATGAGCGGCTCCAGCTTGTGGCCGCACAGAACCAGCTGGAAGAAGCACCTTCCGCGGGCTGGCGAGGGCGCGGCTCAGCCCGAGGCCGGGGCGGGGCTCAGGGACCCGCTGGCCCGCCCCGCCCCGCCCGCTCCCCAGCAGCCGCCCGTCCCGCACACCCTCGCCCACCCCGTCCCCTCGTCACCGTCAGAGCTGAGCGCCAGGCGCACGTAGACCAGGTGGATGGGGCCCTGGCACACGCTGCGGCCCTGGATGGAGAAGTGGTAGGTGCCGAGCATGTGGTTCAGCACCAGGCGGCGCCGCGGCAGCGACGAGACCATGAGCCACAGCCCCACGCCCATGCCGTACGCGGGGAAGCCCCACGTCTCCTGATTCCGCACCTGCGGGCGGGAGCCTCTGAGCGGGCGGGGCGCCGAGTGGCGGCCGGGGGTGCGGGGTGTGGGGGGCCTGGGCGGGGCCGGCAGCTGACCTGGCTCACGAGGCCGGAGATGATGAGGACGAGGCAGACGAGGAAGAGCAGCGCCCCCTTCCACAGCGTGTCCAGATAGTACTCGAGCACGAAGACTGCGCGGGCAGACAGGTGCGTGAGACCGGGGTGGCGGTGGCCGTGACCGGCGTCCAGCCGGCGGGTTCCAGGCCCCGGCCCGCCCCTGCGCCCTGGCTCCGCCCCACTCGGGTCACCGCCCCGCCCAGCCGGCCTGGCCGTGCGCCCCGCGCCGCACCGTTGGGCTGCTGCTGCGTGAACGGGTAGCAGCTGTTGTTCCGGAGGCGCCTGGCCAAGTGGTGCTCGGTGCAGAAGAGCCCTAGGGCCCAGAGCTGGAAGCGCTTGCCAGGGGGAGTGGGAAGGCTGAAGATGAGGTCATCGGGGACCTGGGCCTGGGTCAGGCATAAGCGGTCAGCTGGGCAGCTCTCCTGCCGCCCCTTCCCCCCCACCCCGCTCCCCCTAGTCCTACTGGCACCGGGAATAAAGTTGCCAGGGCTACAGTGAGGAGTGAGCTGGAGCGCTCAGGCGAACCGCAGGGGAGACCCCAGGCGGCACCCTTGGGTTCTAGAAGCTTGGGGTGCTGGGTTCTAGAAGGTTCTGTATTGTTGACTGCCCCTTTTCAGGAGAGTCCCCTGGCCAGGCCCCTGCTGTGGGCACTCACAGGCCCACCCCACCTGTGGGAAGCTCCTGTACAACCTGGTTCAAAACCTTTCCTGAAGGATGGGGTGGTGAGACACCCCAGGTCTAAGATGGACAGAAATCTGTAGGCAGGTACCCCACACCAAACCCCATAGCTGAGCAGGGCCGTCCCCTGCATTACGCCTGCCCAGGCCAGAGCCTCACAACCGAGGGCAGCTCACCATGGCATCTCCGAGGGTGGGACACACACTTATCCCAGGATTCCAGTCCAAGGCACAGCCACAGGCAGATTCAGGATCCTGGGGGCCCACCCCCCAAAAGAAAACCAGACCCCAGGCCAGCTCTAGCCTCAAGTGGTTCCCTCAGGTATAAGCCCTGACCACCCCCACCCCAAACCAAAGACCACACGGTTCTTAAAATGTTTATTGTAACAAAATGCTCCAACATCCAAAACTGGAAAAGGGTGCAGGGCCAGGCAGCCTAGCTGGGGCCAGGGGGGCAGGTGAGCAGCTGTTCCAGGCACCACTGGACCTCCTCTGGGCCCCGGTAGGCCCGCTTCAGGCCCCGGGGAAGGCAGCGGCAGGACTCCAGGTTGAGGTACAGCAGGCCTGGGCAGCTGCTGATCACAGAGCTGTGGGAGCAAGGTAGGCCATGGGGCACTGAGCCACTGGCTCCCAGGAGACTCCGGCCCTGCCAGGGCTCGGCCAGGCTGGGGAGCCCTCTCTGCCCGTGCACCACAGCTGGCTCTGCCACCCAAGCCACCGAGGCCCAATTCCAGTTCCCTTGGTGTCCCCGAGCCCGACTCCAAGTAGGGGCTTTGCCAGTATATGCTCCCCTTTCAGACCCTGGAACTGGCAAGCCTGGCAGGACAGGAGGCATGCCACCCTGGCTCCAAGGGACAGGGGGAGGGGGTGCTGACCTGACTGTGCTTGGTGTGACCCGGGTGCCCCTGAGGTTAAGGGAGCACAGGGCTGGGGGTGAGCCCCCATGGGGGCCTGAGAAGGCGGCTAGGGCCTGCTCCAAGTCCTTCTCACTGAAGCCCTGGCCACTCAAGTCCAGTTCCCGCAGAGTGTGGCACCACTTATGGGTCAACAGGGGGCTGCCCTCCTTGGCTAGAGTCAGCCGATCTGACATGCCATACAGGCCCAGGTGCAGCTGCTCCAGCTCTGCAGGCGAGAGGGGTGGGCATGAGCTGTGGGGTGGGCAAGGGCCCACATCACACCTGCCCTGCCGCCACCCAGGGGAGCTGACCCTGACACGGCAGGTCATACAGGCCGACGGGTGTGACGCGGGCGCAGCCTCGAAGATCCAGCAGGCGCAGGCCAGGGGAGCCTCGGAGCAGGCGGCTCAGAGCCTCGTTGCTCACAAAGTTGCAGGTGGAGCCGGCAAGGCAGAGCTCCTCGAGGCAGGGGAAGCCTGGGCCAGGAATCGCCGCTCGCCCCGATGGTTTGGGCAGCCATATCAGGTTCAGAAGCCGCAGCACCTGGGAGCAAGGCCCAGGCTGCAGGTGGGGAGGGGCGTGCCAGGTGGGAGAGGTGGGGCATCGGGTACCTGCAGCTGGGGGCAGCCTCTCTGCAGGGCCTCCACGGGCAGCTGGAGGGGAGTGTTGTTTCGGTGAATGCCCGTGCTCACCTCCAGGAGCTGGAGCTGGGGGCAGCAGCTGCCCTGCAGAAGTGGGGGGCGACCAGGGGGTCAGTGGCCTGGCAGTCCCTGGCTCGGCACCAACTCAGCTCCTGCCTATCGCCAACCTACCAGCAGGGCACCCAAGATGGCAGTGGTCTGGGAGCCGTAGGTCAGCCACAGCTTGCGCATTCGAGGCCCCACCTCCTCCAAGAAGTTCACCACAGCCGTGGACTCCACCTGAGGACCCAGCACAGGGGTGCCTGTCACTGTGGCTTGGGCTTCTTCCAGGCCCCTGGGGACACAGGGCTCACCATGGAGTGCTGAAGGTCCAGGCTGTGGAGCTGGGGGCAGGCTCTGGCCAGCATGACCAGAGTGTCCGAAGTCACACCATGGCAGTCGGAAAGCTTGAGGAAGGTGAGCCGAGGACAGGATTCACTGACCAGCTGCAGAGGACAGAGACCCCGCGGGATTGGGGGAGGGCAGGCTACGATCAGCAAGAGAACGAAACCAGTGACCGGCACCAGTCTGCTGCCCCGGCTACGGCCTCCTTTCCGCCCATGCCAGGCCCACCTGGGGGCTCCTGCTTCTGACACCTCCCTGCTGGAGGAGACAACAGGGAAGGAGGGCCAGGCAGGTATCCCCATGGGCCAGTGTTGGGCCCCTGGTGCCTGGCCCACTCCCTGGAAGCAATGGGCAACTCCAGAGTTTCACAGCTGGCTGCAGGGCAGCCTCCAGCACTCACCTTCAACACGGGATGTACCTGGGACTTCCAGTGGATGAGGGTCAGCCTCTGGAGCTGCGAGAACCTGGGGGGACAGCAGAGGCTGAGCTGCAAAGGTTCCCACGCTGCCTTTTTCAGGGTTCTCCCGCCCATCGCCTTGGTGCAGGGACACAGGGAGGGGCCCGGGACTTTCCACACAACACAGGTAGAGTGAGCGGATGAGGAAAAGAGGGGGTGCCCCACCGGTTGGGCATAAGCCACTCCAGGGAAGCGAGGAGCTTCTTCTCGGCCTTGGCGCCGCCTTTGGTAGATCGGCCAGCCAGCGGGGGCGACAGGGTCACGGTGTGCCAGAGCGCGGGCTGGGAGGCGGCCTCGTGCCAGTGGCGGCACACGCGTGCGGCCCTGGAAGAAACCCTCTGCTGAAGGGTCGCACCGGCTGCGGCAACTCTTACAACGCGGCGCACAGTCAGGCTCGTGGGGCTCTAAACGGACCCCAGAAGGGACCGGCCTCTCGGGCACAGTGTGTACGCTCAGACGCGCGCGGCCTCTGCTCCCCACGCGGTGGCAACAGGTCCGCCGCGCTCGACGGACCCGAGGTACCTGCCGAGGAAGGGCATGGGCCCGTCGGCCGCCACCCGCAGCCCGAAAATCTGCAGCAGGATCTCCAAGGGGATGCGGTCGCCCCAGCCGGGGTCGGGCCCTGGCGGCGGCGCGGGCGCGGCTGCGGGTGCGGGTCGGTGCCTGGCCTTGGCCCCTGCGGAGCGGGCCCCGGCGGGCGGCAGCGGCTGGGCGCGGCGGGCGGCGCGGCGGTGCGCGCGAGCGCGAGCGGGCCCCGCGCCGGGCAGCACGAGCAGCATGCTGTCGGCCTGCAGCAGGTGGTACCCGGAGCCGCTCGGCGCCAGCCGGTCCCACCACCAGTCCTCGGCCGAGCGGGTCCGCTCCCCGGCCGCTGGCGCGCCGCGCACCCGGCGCCGGGCCCTCCGGACCCGCCGGGCGCCCCCGGGAGCCATGGGTACCCGCGGCACTCCACCGACTGCTCCAGTGGAGCGGAAGCAACGGAGCCCGACGGCGGAAGGGGCGTGTCCGGGGAGGGGCTTGTCATCTCTCCAACGACTCCGTGCCTACTTCCGGGGCGGGGCTTCCGGCGGGGCTGGCAGGCCGGGATTTAACCGTGTCCGGGCCGGGGAGGTGGACTCTCCGCTCTGTCCCGGCCCCACCGGCTCTGGGCTGGAACCACAATCCTGGGCTGCAGGCCGCGTGGCGGGAGGCCGGCCGCCGGGTCGGGGATCGCTCGGGCGCTGGACCGGGAGGCGCGAGGACCCGGGCGCCCCGGCTGCTGTCCGCCGTCGCCCGACGCAGGAGGCGGGGCCCGTCGCGGCCACGCCCCTCAGAGCCCCGCTGGGCTCAGGCTCCGGGGCCGCGGACAGCTCGGCACTCCCAGGTGGCGCCAGGCTGCGAAGGTGAGCGTGGCGCCCGAGAGGGGCCCTGTGCCCACGTCTGTTCTGGGGGTGGCCAGCTCCCTCTTGGTCATCCTCTGGCGGGGCCTCCCTGGCACCGGGGGCCGGGCTTCCCGCTTCCCCACCTGCCAGCCTTGCTGTGTGGGGGTCCTGGCCCGGAGGCAGGTGCTACTGGATCTATTTTGGACCCTCCTCCGCCCCTCCCCTCCCGGCACCCTCCACTTTTCCCGGTCTTGGCCGTCTGACCCTCTTCTGACACCGGCGTCTCTTCCTTGTGATCCCGAATTTGCGTCTGTTTCCTTCAAGCTAGAAAAGGTCTGCAGTTTCCAGAAGAGTGGACGCGCCTTCTCTGGACCGAGGTGCGGCAAGAGGAGCTGACCTGTGCGCTGTCCTGGGGGCCCAGCCTCGGCTCATGGCAGCGCCCCCGCTGGGCCGTCTGGTGCTGACCCACCTGTTGGTAGCCCTCTTCGGTATGGGCTCCTGGGCTGCCGTGAACGGGATCTGGGTGGAGCTGCCCGTGGTGGTGAAAGACCTCCCCGAGGGTGAGTGAGAGTTGCAGGCAAGCGGGGGGCCAGGCCGGCCCGGGAGGCGGGCTGCAGCCGCGTTGCCTCTGACGTGGCCCCCTGCCTTTCCTGCAGGTTGGAGCCTCCCCTCGTACCTCTCTGTGCTGGTGGCGCTGGGGAACCTGGGGCTGCTGGTGGTGACGCTGTGGAGACGCCTGGCCCCAGGCAAGGGCGAGCGGGCCCCCATCCAGGTGGTGCAGGCGTTGAGTGTGGCGGGCACTGCCCTGCTGGCCCCCCTGTGGCAGCAGGTGGCCCCCGTGGCCGGGCAGGATCACTCCGTGGCCTTCCTGACGCTGGCCTTGGTGCTGGCGCTGGCCTGCTGTGCCTCTAATGTTACTTTCCTGCCCTTCCTGAGCCACCTGCCGCCTCCCTTTCTGCGGTCCTTCTTCCTGGGTCAGGGCCTGAGTGCCCTGCTGCCCTGCGTGCTGGCCCTCGCGCAGGGGGTGGGCCGCCTCCAGTGCCCACCAGCCCCCACCAACGGCACCCCGGGGCCTCCCCACTACTTCCCGGAGCGTTTTTCCGCCAGCACCTTCTTCTGGACGCTGGCTGCCCTTCTGGTCATTTCGGCTGCCGCCTTCCAGGGTCTTCTGCTGCTGCTGCCGCCGTTACCACCGTCCATGCCCACGGAAGGCCTGGGGCCTGGCTGTCGGGTGGGAGCCCCCGGAGTGGAGGAGGAGGCGGAGGGAGAGGCCTCACCACTGCAGGAGCCACCTTTCCAGGTGGCAGGCACCACGCCCGGCCGAGACCCTGAGGCCCAACGACTGCTCTCTGCCCGCAGTGCCTGCCTGCTGGGCCTGCTGGCCGTCACCAACGCACTGACCAATGGCGTGTTGCCAGCTGTGCAGAGCTTCTCCTGTTTGCCCTATGGGCGCCTGGCCTACCACCTGGCCGTGGTGCTGGGCAGCGCTGCCAACCCCCTCGCCTGCTTCCTGGCCATGGGAGTGCTGTGCAGGTGCACAGGGGGCCTTAAGCCACTGGGGTTGGAACCTAGGGATGGGGACCCCGGCCAGGAACAGCCAGTCCTGACTTCCTGCTTACCCCTGGCAGGTCTCTGGCCGGGTTGGGCGGCTTCTCTCTGCTGGGCCTGCTCTTTGGGGGCTACCTGATGGCGCTGGCAATCCTGAGCCCCTGCCCGCCCCTCGTGGGCACGGCTGCAGGGATGGTCTTTGTGGTAAGCGCACGGGACACTGGAGCAAGAGGGTGGCAGGGGAGGTGTGCCCGGGAGCCAGAGGCATCTATGCTCAGCCTGCTGCTGTGTCTCCCCTAGGTGCTGTCGTGGGTGCTGTGTCTGGGGCTGTTCTCCTATGTGAAGGTGGCTGCCAGCTCCCTGCTGCATGGGGGCGGGCGGCCAGCATTGCTGGCCGTTGGTGTGGCCATCCAGGTGGGCTCCCTGCTTGGTGCTGTCGCCATGTTCCCTCCGACCAGCATCTACCACGTGTTCCGCAGCGGGAAGGACTGTGTGGACCTGTGTGGACCCTGAAGCTGGGCAGGTGGCTCTCACTCCATCCCACCTGTGCTCAGGCTGGGGCTGCCGCTGTGCCTGGTGCCCACGGTCCCGGGAGGCCCTCCCCACGCCGGGCATGAACATGGACACCGGCACACTCCACAGGAGACCCTGGCACCTCAGGCCACGCTGGGGACCACAGAGCAGGCCCCAGTCAGGTCCCGACCGGCGCTGTGGGCGGGGCTTGGGCCTGGGCCCTGTGTGGGGTTTGCACAGTAAAGCGTTTTTTTTCTGAGTCAGACTTGTTAACCCCAGGAGCACCTTGTCCTCTGCAGACAGACTTCCCCCGGCCACAGTCATGGTCTGGCTGTTCCTAGGCGCCTACCACCCCCACGCTGTTCTCATATTCCGGGGGTTATGGCCTCTGAGCCAGGACTCCTGCCCCCGACACCTTGCTTCTTGGACTCCCCCAGCCCCCTGAGAACTGCCCAGAGGGAGGGCAAAGGCCAGCTTCCAGGGCCTGGAGTCTGGGCCAAGGACCCACACAGGCAGCGTGGTGCCCACCAGTGTCAGCCCGCCGGGACCACGGCTACATGGCGGGGCCTCTTCCCAGTTGGGCCACTGCTCCACAAGCATCTGCAGTCCTGTGGTGGCCGAGCCAGCCAGGCACAATGGACAGGATGGGCTGTCCCTGCTTTGTGACCTGGGCGCGGCCCACTCGCCTGCTGCTCTGGGGGATTTGACGCCAGGGCTTTGTTGCAAGGTCCAGGCACAGGAGGGGCTCAGAAGAGGCCTTGGTATAAGGTTCCAGCCAGTCGGGACCTTTCTGCTCAAGAGCACTGACCCCTCCCCCGAGCCACCAGCCTCCAGTTTCTGGCTCCTTCTGTGATCAAAGGCCCCCAGCGCCTTAGTATTCAGGCGGACCGGCATCACCTCCTTCCTGAGCAGCGCAGGAAGGTTCCCTCCGTGTTCTGGGAACCGGGACCGGCACCTGCAGGGGTGGGATCTCTGTACCAGACGCGGTCTGTCCAGGACTAGGCGGTTCTCCCACAGGCTGGAGTGAGCGTCTGAGCCAGGACGGAGCGCTTGCGGGGGTTGCAGAGGGTGTGCTGATGGGGCTGCAGGGGGGCGGGGGGGGGGGCAGCACAGACGAGGGCCCACCTCTGCTAGGAGCCCTGCAGCCACTAGTCGCGGGGAGTGGGTGCTGGGAGATACAGCTCCGTCCCTGCTGCCCAGCTCCTTGACTCAGCCTGTGTGGGGGCCTCTGAGGCCCTCAGCTGCCTCCTCCCTCATCCCCTTCAACCGCCACCCACCTTGGCAGGACCAGCTGAGCACAAGGGCCTCCCTGTGGGAGGGAGGGGCCCCGTGCCTGGACGGTGGGCTCCCAAGTGGCTCAGACACAGCCCAGCCCTAAGGGCAGGAGGCCACCCGCCAGGCCCCAGCCTTCCTTCCGGGGGTGGAGCAGGGGCACATGCCTGGCTGCTGGCCTTTGGGAGGCGGGGGCTTTGGTGGTGGTGAGTAAAGATTTAGAGGGAGGAAGATGGGGGCCTCACACCACCAGCACCTCTCTCCTGCTTCCCTGGAGCTGGAGGTGGGGGTTTGAGGAAGCCACTGCCCTTTGAAGTCTGCAGGGCCTTCCAGTCATTGGTCAGTGCCCATAGGAAACAGGACAGAGGCCAAAATACCAAGGGGAGGAGAGGCTGCAGGGCCAAGTCCTGAGAGCCACCGACATACCCATTCCTCGTGGCTGCCCAGAGCCAAATCCTGTGGCCAGGGAGGCAGGGCAGCCCCCATGCCAGGACCTTCAGAGCTGGGCCCTGCCCCAGTGCCTGTCCCAGAACACAGACCTCCAGCTGGACAGCAGGTATCAGTGGCTCTAAAGCTCCCAGCTCTGCCCAAAAGCCTCTCAGGCCTGGGGCTGGGGCATTAGAAGGAGGCCCTGGAGGGCAGCCCCCTGGGTGACAGTGGAGCCTGAGCCACCAGGGCCACTGCTGTCATTCCCACCACCAGGAGCAGGCCCTTCAGTTCCTCAAAACCAGACCGGGGGGGGGGGGGGGGGAGCACACATTTGTAATTCCTTAACTAATAAAGAATTTAAAGATAAAATTAAAAAAAACAAAAACAAAAAAACCAGACCAAGCAGCCAGGGCCTGGACGGGCACCTCCTTTCCCGGCGTGGCCACTGCAGCTGGGGCTGCGGTGAGTCCCCGGACACGGCTCCGTGTTCTGGGTAACTGAAGGTGGGGCCTTCCTTCAGCACAGGAACCGCACAGGCGTGCTGCCAACGCCGCGTCCACTGAGCAACACCAGCCAGGAATGTGGTTAAAAAATTATATACATTGCCAAAACCGGTTTGGCTCAGTGGATAGAGCGTCGGCCTGCGGACTGAAGGGTCCCGGGTTCGATTCCGGTCAAGGGCATGTACCTGGGTTGCGGGCACATCCCCAGTAGGAGATGTGCAGGAGGCAGCTGATTGATGTTTCTCTCTCATCGATGTTTCTAACTCTCTATCTCTCTCCCTTCCTCTCTGTAAAAAATCAATAAAATATATTTTAAAAAAAAATTATATACATATATATTGATTTCAGTGAGAAAGGGACAGAAACATCGGTGATTAGAATAATTGATTGGCTGCCTCCTGCACGCCCCCAACTGGGGATCAAGCCTGCAACCTGGGCATGTGCCCTGACAGGGAAACAAACTGTGACCTCCTGGTTCATAGGTCGATGCTCAACCACTGAGCCAGGCCATCCGGGCACCCTTCCATTTATACCTTAGCAGATAAATTTGGTCCAGGGGAGATTCAAATGTGCTTTGTTTTTTCCCAGTGGAAAGAACAAGTCTCCATCTTTATAAAGTTCATTTCTGCCTTCTTTCACTCCATATAAATCTGTGGTTCTGAACTTCTCTTTTGAACTTGTAGCCACATTTCTGGCTCTCATTAGGTAGTGACTTAAACCTTTGACTAGTTTTTAACAAAATATTAAATTGGTTGAGGTGACATTGGTCAACATGAACGTATAGGTTTCAGGTGTGGGTTTCTATGTTTACAAGATCTGTCTATTGCACTGTGCCCACCACCCAAAGTCAAATCTTCTGCTGTCACCTTATATTAGGAGCAGTGTGTTAGTTTTTGAGTTGCTGCTGGAACACATCACCAGGGGCAGTCCCCATGGGCCAGTCCCCATGAACTAGCCTCCTGGCCACGGTTCATTTTGCCACTGAGCCAGAGGCTGGAGGTCAGAAATCAAAGTGGCCGCAGGGCTAGTTCCTCCTGAGGCTCGCAAGGAGCAGCGTCCAGGCCTGTGTCCAGCTCCTGCGGCTGCCAGCAATTCTTGACATTTCTTGGCTGGTGGCCACATCACTGCCGTCTCTGCCTGTCTTTACAGGGGCTTTTCCTCTATGTCTCCGACCTCCTTCTCCGCCTCAGGACACCAGTCATTGGGTTCAGGGCCCATCGCATCCAGGATGGTTTCATGGAGAACCTTAATTACATCGGTCACGGCCCTATTTCCAAGGAAAGTCACAGGACAGATTCTGGAGCTTAGAGCATGCACACATCACTCATATCTGCGTGAGAGTCATGCTTAATACACACTTCCTCTTTTTTCTTTCTTTTTTTGTTAGTTTACTTATTTTGGAGCAATTTAAAAAACCTCTTTATTGTTTAAAGTATTACATCTCTTCTTCCCCCATTGACCTCTCCCCAGCCACCCCCACCCCCGCACGTGCCCTCACCCTTCTAGTGTCTGTGTCCACCGGTCAAGCTTATATGCGTGCATACAAGTCCTTTGGTTGATGTCTTACTGCCCCCGCCCCGCCTTCCCTCTGCAGTTTGACGGTCTGTTCAATGCTGCTCTCTGTATCTATTTTTTCAATATATTGTTATTGATTTCGGAGAGGAAGGAAGAAGGAGCGAGAGAGAGAAACATCCACGATGAGAGAGAATCATGGGGCAGCTGCCTCCTGCAAGTCCTCCACGGGGGATCGAGCCCACAACCCGGGCCTGTGCCCTGGACCGGAATCGAACCCGGGACCTTTCAGTTCACAGGCCTGGTTCCGCGGCGAGGAAACCGAGCTCTGGCGGAGACGCGCCCCCACGCCCAGCCCAGGAGCGTTGGGCCCGCAGGTCCCAGGTCCCGTCCCCTCGTGAGGGCCGGGCGGGACGCGAGGAGACCCCAGGGCGCCAGAGGACCAGCCGCCCGCCGGAGCCTGAACGCTCATGCGGGGCCTCGGGGGCCGACAGGGGGCGCTGCGCCGCCGGGACGCGGGCACGTCGGGGCGTGGCTTCAGGCCCCGCCCACCGCCGCCGGGCGCGCCTGCGCAGTGTGCCGCCCCCGCCGAGGCTGCTGGGCGGGGCGACGCGAGCCAGCCCGGAGCGGGAACCGGAGCGGGAGCCGGAGCGGGAGCCGGAGCCGGAGCGGGAGCGGCGGCCGGAACATGTGGAGACCGGTGAGTCCTCGCCGTGCGGCCCGGCGCTCCGCTCCCCGGCCGCCGCCAGGCGCCCGTGCGGCCCCTCAGGGCCCCGAGCCCCTGCGCACCCCCAGCCGGGGCGTCCGGGCCTGTCTGGGAGCCGGTCCCCGGGCCGCCCGCCCTGCCCTCAGCTCTTCAGGGTCCTCGCCGCCTCGGGTGCCCTGCCCCCTGGACGCCCCTCGAGGCCCCCAGGAGCCCGGCAGCGTGTGCCGCGCACACCCCGGAGCCCTCGTCCTCACGGGCACCTGCGGGAGGGACGCCCTTCCCCACGGAGCTCCGGCCGCCGCCTGTGTGTCCCTCAGACCCGGCCGCGAGCCCTCGCTGTCCTCCCTTCCCTCGGGCCCTGACCCCCCGGGCCGCGCCGAGCCGGCACCTGCCCGGCTCCCGCTCTCGCCTCCGCCCTGGTCCCCTGCCCGCGCCTCGCGGTGGCCCTGACCCGGCAGCTGGTGCCCGGTGGTTGGCGCCGCGGCCACCGCTCCCCGGGTCTGGCCGGCCCCTCCTGAAGGTCGGCTTTCTGTGGCGCCGGCCTTTCTCTTGCAAACCCAGCCGTGTCGGTGGAGACATGCACGGCCTGAGCCTGTGGCGGGCGGATCAGCGGGAGGGACCTGGCCCTGAGGACGCGCCTCGCAGTGTCTGCAGCTTCTCACCCATCGGTCCGGTCCGAGTGCCAGGGCGAGGGGCAGGCTTTAGCCCCCGGTTAGGAGCTGCTCAGCCACTGAACCGAGGGGGACCCAGGGGCTGAGGGGGTCCTCCCGCCCCGCCCCGGCCCAGATTCCCGGCTCACCCTGAGGACGTGGCTGTGTGGCCGCCCCTCCTGGCGAGGGCTCGGGCTGCTGCCCGTTATTAAGCGTCAGGGGTCCTTCCCGGTCGGTGTAGGTTTCTTCGTTGTTGTTTCTAATGTATTTTTGTTGGTTTCAGAGGAAGGGAGAGGGAGAGAAACATCCATGATGAGAGAGACTCATGGATCGGCTGCCTCCTCCACGCCCCACAGGGGATGGAGCCCACAACCCAGGCACGTGCCCTTGACCAGACCGAACCGGGGACCCCTCATTCCGCAGGCTGACACTCTATCCACTGAGCCACACCAGCCAGGGCTGTGCAGGTTTCTGTTACAGCATCACCAGGAGACTCGGTCGTGGCTTCTTACTGCCCTGGGCAGCTTGTGTGCAGTGACTTCTCCTCTTCCTTCTCGTCAGCTGTCTGATCTCCGCGGTGCTAGGAAAGCAAGCAGCTCGGCTGGGGCGGAGGGCGTGACCACACACCTTCGTTGCCCTGCATCCAAGTGCACACACACCCATTATCCATTTGAGTGTTGCTGCTCAGAGATCTTTTCGTGCTGCTTTGTACGTTGTTAGCCAAGTTCTGATGAGCCCTGGGTTTCTGCAGGCACACTGTGCGCACATTCAAGGGAAGCAGGACAGGCCAGGGGACGGGAAGCCCATGTCCTCTTGTCCACACTGGCGGCTTGGGGAGTGGGAGGGGTGCAGGGCCAAGTGTGCGGTCGTCTTGGCAGGCAGATGCTGGCATGTGGAACATTTCCTGGGACCCGTAGCCCTCTCTGCACCTGTGTCCAGATGCCTCTGGTGCTCAGGCCCTGGGTGGGCTCAGGTTACGTGTGAGGTGCTGGAAGCTCCCCTGGACTGGACCCTGGCAGGTTTAGCTGCAGGCTCTGCCCCACATTTATAGCCACATGATCTCTTTGGGCTTCGGGGATGTCTCTTGGGTGATGGGGATAGTTTCCACCAGGCAGGCACCTGTGGGTGCTGTGGCGTCGTCTCATCTTGGAGTCCTGTCTGGGGCCAGGCTGCTCTGGGGCCGCTCGTCTCTTGCTAGACCGTCCTTCCACCTGCTGCTCAGCCAGCGTCCTCGGCCAGGCCACGTGGGTTCCGGCTCGTTCCGTGCTTGTCACTGTTGACCTCAGTTCAACACCCGTGGAGCTTCTGCTTCCCAGCGGAGCACGTGCTGGGAAGTGAGTTGGGGACACGATGCAGCCAGAGCGCCTACCGGGTGGTCCGTCCACGTGCGCCGGCACCGGCTGTCGTGGCTCAGAGGCTGTGGACGCTGGTCCTCGGCTTCCTCGCCGGAGCCGTGACAGCAGTGGACGGTCGTCGGGAGGCTGGGGCGGCCAGGGCCTGTGCTCGGCTCGAAGGTGACTCCATTGCAGCATTCTTTTCTGTAAAGGAGCAGCACGAGGGGTTGTTGTTGTTAATCTTCTCCTGAGGGCATTTCCCATCGATTTTTGTTAAGAGAGTGGAAGGGGAGGGGCAGAAAAGAGAAACATCTATATGTTGTGCTGCTGAATTTTGCACTTACTGGTTAATTCTTGGATGTGCCTGACTGGGTATCGAAACCGCAACTTGGGTGTATCGGACGACACTCTAACCAACCGAGTTGCCCAGCCGGGGCCAATCCTGTAGGTTTTATCAATTGATTGATAATTTATGCTAGAACAGAAAAAAGTCTTTTAAGAAAGTTTTTACTGAATTTATTGGGGGTGACATTAATGTTTGAGGTTATTTGTGAGTGAGGTGACTTGACATTGTCTCACCAAACCCTTGCCTCTGAATGCCCCGGGGACAGTGCCCTGCTGGCTGTGAGGACCCTCTGCCCTGGAGGCCCCCGGGTGGCCCGTGTGGGGCCAGGGTGGTGTCGACTGGGCCGGGGCCCCGTCAGCAAACGCTCTCCTTTTGCTGAGCTCCTGTTAGGTGTCAGGCCCCGAGTGAGGAGCTTTATTTCCACCACCTCTCACCCTTCCAGCCTTGCAAGGTGGACTGTTACCCATTCAGAGAGGAAAGGTGTCAGGAGGGCAGTTGCCCCGGCACCAGGTGGTGGTTCGAGGCTGCAGACCAGCCTGTTCCTCCATCCTGGGGCTGGGCACTCGGGGACCCTTCCCCACTCGTGACACCCCATCCACACAAGGCTGCTGAGAGCCAGGAGCCGCCTGCATGCCCTGTGCCGTCTCCCGGGGTGACCCGGAAACCTGAGTGGCCACACCAGCCTGTGCCTGGTGGGGCTGCACAGGCTTCTTTGGGGATGAGCCCTCCCACTGCGTCCCTCCCTGGTGGGCGGGGGCTTCTCCAGGGCCAGGACTTGAAGGCGAGCCTCTGGGAGCGCTCCTCCGCTGCAGGCTTCTGCCAGCTGAGTCAGAGGTGCCCAGAGCACCTGCAGCCACATGCCCAGCCTTCACAGGGGCACCTGGGCGGTTGGGTGTTGCTGGGTTTGGGCGTGGTCTTGGGGCTCCTGTGCCAAGGCTCAGGGTGCTACACACACAACCTCTGATCCAGGCCCCTGGCTCTGCTTCTTCGATTGTTGGCCCGTTGCTAGGACAACCTGTGGACCTTTGCTCTGAACGCTGATTTCTCAGAATGAGTGCAGTTGGTCAGCTTTGGCAAGTTTCCTTCTTGGTCTGCCATGGTGAACCCCATGGGGCTTACAGCAGACCCCACCTTGCCACCCTTCCACCCTGGTCCTTCCACTCTACATCCTACATATAACCTCTCGCCAAGCTCATCATGTACTGGGAATGGTCTCTTCTCTTCTTGGCAAAATAAGCCCTTCTTTTCCTTTGGAAGAAGCTGTGGGAAGCGGTGCTGACGGAGTTCACTTCGGCCCAGCAAGTGTGCGCTGCTTTGTGTCAGGCGGGGCAGAGGGTTGTTGAGGGGAGGTGAGGGCGTGGGGACAGCCGGGTGGCTGGGCACAGTGAGGAGGGAGCCTGGGAGAGTTGAGCGGCGCGTTGACGCCAGGGGAGCTCAGCACACACCTCTGCCTTCCCTGTGCTCCGAGCTTTGCAAGCCTCCGTTCACTTGATCTGAACTTTGCCCGTGTGGTGGTCCCCACTTCATAGACAGGGAAACTGAGGCACAGAGAGGGAAGCATGGCTGGTAAGTGCCAGTGCCCGGATCCCATTTCTAGCCCCTGATGTCCAGATCCAGAGCCTGCCCCCCGCTGCTCAGCGTGGGCGGCTGTTGTGGGCCCGATCTCCTTCTGTTCGATGCCAGGAGCACCCTTCCCCCGAGTGGTGACAACCGAGTGTTTGCAGACAGTGCCCGATGCCCAGCACAGAATCGTCCAGGCGAGCACCCCTTGCCTGGCTCCAAAACGCCACCTTCCCGGCAGGGACACCCAGTAGGACAGCAGATGCTTCGAGCCTTCTCTCGTGAAAACATAGGCATACAGGTACCAGCTGACAGCCCACCACCTCGGCCTGCCCACTGCTAACGTCTTGCCCCAGTTGTTTCTGTTTCTCTTTGAAAACATATGTTTTGTTGTCACTGGACCATTTGATAGTAAGACACAGACATTCTGACACATACCCTCTATCTAGACCAGTGGTTCCCGATGTGGGGCCAAGGCCCCACGGGGCAATTTGATTTTTAAAGGGGGCAATTCGAGAATGAATTAAATGACTTTTTTTGCATTTCTTGTGGTTCTAGGGGCCTCATATACAGTATATAAATATATATTGTGACATTGATGCATTTCAGTTCTCTATTACATGTGTAACAATTTCTTAGTGATTTCTTCCTCAGTACTTCAGCTGTCCTTTCGTTTTTTTAATTTTTTCTTTCATGGGTGCCATGTTCTTTGGAAGCTTGTTTAGACCAAGTTCATGGCCTTTTAGACTTCCTCCAGGTGCACAGGAGCTCACTTTTTGAATAATAAGAATTATACGCCACGGGGAGGGCATCGGGATTTTAGAGGCGCTTAGGTGGGACGTGGCCAAGAAAGGGTTGGGAACCACTCTCGAGCCTTCACTGTGCATTCCCGGAACAAGGACATATGCTCCGTAACCACGGAGACTTTATCATGCCCCACATACCGAGAGCTCAGGCAGACCTTGGGGACACTGCAGTAACGCGAATGTCCCAGTATGGCAAGTCTTGTGGATTTTTTGTTTCTTGGTCATATAGCCTGTTGAGTGGGTGTGCGGGAATATTGTGTCTTAAAAAAGAACGTACATACCTTAGTGGAAGCTTATTATTGCTAAGAAATGCTGACCATCACATGAGCTGTTGGAAAACGGGGCTGACAGACTTGGTGGATGCAAACCTTTAATTTGTAAAAATTGCCCCATCGAGGTGCACCTGCAATCTGTGCCCATTCAGGCTGTCTGGGGTTCTCCCAGGTCGAGGCTGGGGTTCCGTCTCTCTAGCCTCCTGACCTACAGCCGTCCCCCACACTTTCCCAATAACCTTTTATTTAACGTCTTGTTATGAACAACTGGAAATATTTACACAAGTGGAGAGACTTGATCAATGACTGTGCCCAGCACCAGTACCCCACGCAGGGGTCCTGGTGACTCTGCAGAGGCCAGCGGTGCTGAGAGAAGGCCCCCCTCGCACCTGCTTGTTGGGGTTTCTCAGGGTCACTGGTAGTGAGCATGAGCCCGGCGGCTGGCAGCGTCGCTGTTGTCGGTTGTTGCTCCTGGGCTGTGGGCTTGTGGTGGCTGCACTCTTGGCTCCTCACGCTTGCCCAGGACACTCTGGGCTCCTCCCAGCAGCCCCTCCCGGCCACTACTCTAACTTGGGCTTCAGCCCTTCTGAGTGGACACCTGTCCCTGCCTTCTCCAAGGCTGATGCCCCAGCACAGCGCCCCCTCCCTGGGGAAAACCTTGGCGAGGGCCTTGGGACGCCCGCCTCTCTCTGGCTCTTTGCCCCCACCCTTCCCTCTTTGGGCAGCTCCCTCTTCACCTCTGGGCACACGCATTTCCAACCACACAGGCCGGTCTCCTCAGACACGCCCTGTCCTCTCCTGGCTTCGGGCCTTCACGGATGCGTGTCCTCTGCCTAGAAAACCCACAGTGTCCCTGTGGATGTCCCCTTGCTGCCAGGCCACAGGGTCCCCCCTGCCCTGGCACCCGGTACTGTCCCCACAGCCCTGTCTATGTATGTCTGTGGTCCCTGGCCACACGCAGGGCCCACTGTCAGGCTGATCTTTCCGGCAGAGTTGGGTGAGCGGTGGATGTGAGTAGTAGAAGATACCAGTCAGGTGAGGGACACAGGAGGGCCTGGGCAGAGCTGCATTAGAGACAGGCATGGTATGAGCTGGTGGGGCTGGCCCTCCTGGCACGTGTGCTTGTCACAAACCCCCATTGGATGCCCAGTGGGAGGCGGTTGGGCCCCCAGCCTGGACCCAGCCATTCTGCAGGTATTGACTGATGTTCTGAGAACTGACCACCATGTGCGCACAGCTATGTCCTCTGGGCCTCCTCTTCTGTGCGGCATGGCCATGTGCCGTCACGTGGCCGGGTCAGGTGTGCAGGCCAGAGGGGCAGCAGGTGCAGGACGCCTCTCCGCTCTGGCCTCGCTGTGTGTGGCCTTGCTGGACAGAGGTTTTCCAGCACGTCCTCCTCTCGGGACAATAGGTCATGGACATTTTGCTTTGTTTTGCTGTCCTTGAAATTGTCTTCAGGGCTGCATGCTTTGGCCAGAAAGTGATTGGAAAGTCAGTTCCTTATATGGCCCAGAGTTCACAATGATGTCTTTTAAAAATACATATTTTTATTGATCTCAGAGAGGAAGGGAGAGATAGAAGCATTAATGATGAGAGAGAATCACTGATCAGCTGCCTCCTTCAGGGCCCACACTGGGGACCAAGCCCCCAACGGGCACATGCCCTGACGGGGAATCAAACCATGACCTCCTGGTTCATACGTCGAGGCTCAGCCACTGAGCCCCGCCGGCCGGGCACACAATGATAATCTTAACATCTGTGCTGTGGGGTATGACTTACTATAAACGGCATTTTTTCCCCCTAGAAACTGAGAATTTGCAGTTGGATAATTTGTAGTTGAGGAACTGGCAAGACTCGTAACAAGTCAGATTGGGGGACCAAGGCTGCCAGTAGGCAGAGCGCCTCCTGGGAACGTAGCTTCTCTGCCTCTCCTGCTGGCACCTCCACTTGGCCTAATGAGTTCCTGGTGCCTTACTTCCTCTGCTTTCAGAACGACCACCTAGCAAGGCCCGCTTCCCCGCGCGTCCTCCTGGTTGTGCGGTTAGGCTTCCTGGCACTTCCTGCGGAACGCCCCCCTCAGGCTCAGGGAGGAACAGCTGAGTGCTCGGTCCCAGGCCCCGCAGCGCCGGGCAGGGCGGTGGCCGCCTCCTCTGACCTTGTGTTGTTCAATTTGCAGTCACCACGCTGCCACTTGCACTGCACTGCCCTGCAGGGCCGGCCGCAGCGCCTGGGCCCCGCCGCCTTCCTCAGGAGAAGCCTCCAGGTCCCGCCCGCTCAGTGGTGAGTCCTCTGCAGCCTCCAGGCAGGGATGGGCGACGTCCTGTGGGCCTGTGGCTGGATCTTCTCTGTGCACCCTCCACACACAAGACGGGATGGGTTTGCTCCTGGTGTGGTGGGAGGGCCTGGGACTGGGGCCCCAGGGCCAGGACCCCTTCACAGCATGATGAGCAGAGGGCAGCCGAGCTGAGGCTCAGACAGGAAGTGGGAGGGGCTGCTGTAGTGGGGCCAGTACACGGGGGCACGAGGGTTGAGACTAGAGCCAGGGAAGACTAAGTGGTAGGTCCCAGGGCCCATAGTGCTGGGCAGGGCCCGTGGCCGCCTCTGCAGGGCGGGCAGAGTGAGTTGGGCGGGGGTGCAGGTGAGACTCAGGCCTGGCGGGGCAGCCACTCGGAGTGGGTGCTGGTCCCACTGTGGTCCTTGCCTTGACCTCTCCCCATGTTCTGTACTACCTGCACAGCTTGCCATCCTGGCGCTTGCAGTCCAGTGGGCCATTGGCGAGGTGCTTGGTGGGGTGACTACAGGGTAAGCAGTCCTGGTCCTGTGAGTGGCTTTCCGTGTAGTCAGCGACTCACTTGCTTCATCCACCGGCCCCTTGGAGCCTAGCATCTGGGGTGCTGTGGGCTCAGGTGAGGTGACTTGGGCACCGTGGTCAGAGAGCATCCGGGGCCAACGTCACCTGCACAACCAGGCCAGGCAGGGATGGGGCGCAGACGGCAAGCAGCCAGCGTGCCTCTCTGTCCCTCCAGGCCCCTGGGATCCCAGCCCCTATGGAAGAAGGTGCTCACCTCCACGGCCGTGGGGCTGCCGCTGCTCCTGGGCGTCCGCTACCTCACCGCAGAGCCGCAGGAGAGGAGAAAGATGCGGCTCATGGTGGACGGTGTCATGCGCTTTGGCAGGTAGGGCTGGTGGCGTGGCCCTTCCTTCTCCCTGCACAGCCCCGCCCTCATGGGCCTCGTGCAGGTGAGTGGTCACGCTGGACACGCCTCCACAGACCCTCCAGATCAGCCCTGACTGGTGGGGGGTAGGGAGGGGAATGGTGCCTTCCACCCTCCTCCTCACCTGTCTTCTCGTCCCAACTTCCCCGCCAGAGCTGGCACCTAGAGGCCTCACCCTATCCCAGGGCACTGGAGTGGACATGGTGCTGTCTGCTCCTCAGGCTCTTTGACACTCGGGGGCAGGGCTGACCTCCTGAAGGAGCCCCTCGGTCAGCACTCCTGCTCTTGGTCCGATCCAGGAATTCCTCAGTCTCAAAGGCCTAAGAACCAGCTCTTGGCACTGAGTAAAACTGTCGTTTACCTAAACGCACTGTGTACAAGATTCCCTGTGGAAAGCGCTCACGTGAGACCCTAGTTAGGGTGCTGCTGGGGCAGGTGTCCGATCTGCTAGTTGTGAACACCTGCTGCCTCTCGGGCCTGGGCCGAAGCCCCTGGAAGGCTGAGGCCACAGAGGCCTTCAGGCACCTAGCCAGAGGCTGGAGATGCCAGATGGCTGACCGCCTGCTCACTCCGCCTCCTGGTTGAAGCCAGCCCATTACTTCTCCCTGGTGGGCAGCTGACAGGTTTGCCTGGAACTCCCAGTTGCCCTCCTGGGCTGGTTCCTGGCGGGGGCCTCTGTTGTGCCAGCCTCGAGGGTGATGGCCGAGCCTGGAGTTGGATCTGCCTTTTCTCTGTCCCTGTGCAGCTTGGTGCTGAAAAGCCCCCTTGGCTGGCCTGGGCTTGTCTTGCCTGCCTCGTGTGGCTGCTCTGCGTGTCGGACACCCCAGCAGCAGGCTCGCGTGCCTCTGCTGTGCTCCCAGGAGCACATCCCATAGCCTCCTGTCAGAGGCTGAGCTGGGATTGGAGGGAGGGAGCCAGACGAGTATCCCCATCGGCGCCAAGCCTCACAGGTGCCAGGACAGGCAGGCCTGATGGGGCGTCGTGGCGGGTGCTGGGTGACCACGGGACCTCTGGAGATGGAGGACACACAGCAGGTCCTGGGTAGTGGCAGCATGGATGCAAGAGCCCGGGGAAGAACAGAGGTCGCGGGGAGGGGCTGAGTCTGACCATGACTCACCGATGCTTGTTCTGTGGCCAGAGGCTGAGGTCAGAGTGTGTCACAGGTGCCCCGTGCACAAAGGCTGGGGTGGGTGGGAGGTTTGCTTTAGGACGTTTTTACAGTCTCTGCCCCCCCCACCCCCCACCTTTTTTGTCACAATTTCAAATGTCCAGAAAAGTTGCAAGAGTAATACAACTTTTTGCTGGAAACTTTGCAAGCAAGTTGTCAACATGCCCTATCATCCCTGAAAGCTTGAGTGTTTCCTAAACAAGGACTTTCTCCTTTATAAGCATAATCAGGAAGCTGCTACCGCATGACCTTTGATCTTCCCTGTCACCACACGCCCCAGGAGCAGCCCTTTCAGCACCAGGGTCCATCTAGAGTCCATGTCTTGGGTCTAGAGTCGGGGCCGCAGCCAGGCCTCTTCAGTAGTCAGTTCTTCAGACACAGGGCCCTGGACAGATCTGGAGGCACCAGACGGGGCCTGGGCCTGGGCCTGGGCCTGCGCTGGGCTGTCGCCGTGGCAGGAGAGCAGTGGGAATCCCCATCTGGGAATCGACTCCCTGGGGCTCCTGTCTACGGGCCTTGCCTGGGAGAGAGTGGAGGCAGGGCCAGGAGTGTGAGGGCCTGGGGCAAGGGTGTGTTCACATGGGAGCTGGCCAGCTGGCCATCGCGAGTGTGCCCAGTCCTGGGTGGGTTTTCCTTTTGGACGAGTGTCCTCTAAAAGACTACAGACCTCCCCCCCTCCCCCCTCCCCCCTCCTCCCCAGCTCTCACTCCCATGGGCCCTGGGCGGCATTGCTCGGGCTGAGGGTGGAGTGAGTGCCGGTGGCCTATTCTGCAGACCGGGAGCTGAGATGGACACTGAGAGCACAGAGGCTGGGACGAGCCTCCTCTGGCCCTGGGCCCCGAGGGGCGGGCGGAGGGGGGCCCTTAGACTGCGTCTGCTAAGGCTGAGGGAGCCTGTGCTGGCAGGTCCTTGAGGGTCGGCCTGCAGATCTCCGCAGACTACTGGTGGTGCACGAACGTCGTCCTGCGAGGGGTGGAAGAGGTCTGTCCGTGCGTCCTCGGTGACAGCTGGGCCTGTCTGTGCTGTGGGGCGGGATTCTGGAGGAGCTGGGTGTTGGGTGGACTGAGGAGGTGCCTGCCTGCCCCCATCCCCCCTCCATGCCTGTGGTCAGAACAGCCCGGAGTACTTGGAGGTGATGTCTGCGTGTCATCAGCGGGCAGCTGATGCCCTGGTGTCTGGGGCCATCTACAATGGGGGCCTCTACGTGAAGCTGGGCCAAGGGCTGTGCTCCTTCAACCACCTGCTGCCCCCCGAGTACATCCAGACGCTGCGTGTGCTGGAGGACAGGGCCCTCACGCGCGGCTTCCGGGAGGTGAGCCCCACCCTGGAGCAGAGGCTGGGCGGGGCTTGGCCTGGCCTCCACGCTGCCCTAAGAACCCTCTCCACCAGGTGGACGAGCTGTTCCTTGAAGACTTCCACGCCCTACCCCACAAGCTCTTCCAGGAGTTTGACTACCAGCCCATCGCCGCCGCCAGCCTGGCCCAGGTCCACCGTGCCCGGCTGCACGATGGCACCGTTGTGGCTGTGAAGGTACAGGGTCCCCCCTGCTGGCGGTGGCTGGGGAGGCGGCAGGCTTGGGTGCCGCAGGTCAGTGCCTTGCCCGTGCAGGTGCAGTACATCGACCTGCGGGACCGCTTCGACGGGGACATCCACACCCTGGAGCTCCTGCTCAGGCTGGTGGAGTTCATGCACCCCAGCTTCGGCTTCAGCTGGGTCCTCCAGGTAACGACCCTGGGCAGGAGCGGCACCCCCTGCTGTGCGTGTGGGGCTGTGCCTGGCCTTGACCTGCCTGCCCATGTGGCCCCAGGACCTGAAGGGGATCCTGGCCCAGGAGCTGGACTTTGAGAATGAGGCTCGGAACGCTGAGCGCTGTGCACAGGACCTGAAGCACTTCCACTACGTCGTGGTCCCCCGAGTGTTCTGGGACGTGTCCAGCAAGGTGGGCTGGGTGCCCTCCGGGTGGGGGCCGGGACGCACAGCCTGCTGAGCTCAGCCTCTCGCTCTCTCCCAGCGTGTGCTGACAGCCGAGTTCTGTGAGGGCTGCAAGGTCAACGATGTGGAGGCCATCAAGTCCATGGGGCTGGCCGTGCAGGATGTGAGTGCGTGTGCCCAGGTGTGGAGTCGGGGGGTGTGCGCCCGTCGTGTGCACAGGGAGTCGCATGAGGGAGGGGGTACCTCATGTGCCCTGTGACAGTGGCGTGGCCCTGTCCCTGCCCCAGATAGCAGAGAAGCTCATCAAGGCTTTTGCTGAGCAGATCTTCTACACGGGCTTCATCCACTCCGACCCCCACCCTGGCAACGGTAGGAAGTGCCACAGTGGGCAGGGCTGGGGCTGGGGCTGGGGCTGGAGCTGGAGCGGGCCAGCATGAGCCGTGTGCCCTGTCCTTAGTGCTGGTGCGGAAAGGCCCGGACGGGAAGGCAGAGCTGGTGCTGCTGGACCATGGCCTCTACCAGTTCCTGGATCAGAAGTAAGTGTTGGGGGTGCAGGGCTGAGCCTGTCTTGCCTGTCCTGCTGAGCTGGACTCACTCTGGGCCCCACAGGGACCGGTCAGCCCTGTGCCAGCTGTGGCGGGCTATCATCCTGAGAGACGACAGCTCAATGAAGACGCATGCAGCGGCACTTGGGGTACAAGGTGAGGCAGGGTGTGTGTGTGCGCGTGCCCCCGCAAGGGCACACGGGCACGCAGCTTGACTCAGCCCGCCCCCAGACTACTTCCTGTTCTCGGAGGTGCTCATGCAGAGGCCTGTGCGCCTGGGGCAGCTGTGGCGCTCCCACCTGCTGAGCCGAGAGGAGGCGGCCTACATGCAGGCCATGGCGCGGGAGCACTTCGAAGGCATCATGGCCGTGCTCAAGGCCCTGCCGCGGCCCATGCTGCTCGTGCTGCGGAACATCAATACCGTCCGAGCCATCAACACTTCCCTTGGCGCCCCCGTAGATCGCTACTTCCTCATGGCCAAGAGGTGGGTGTTGGCAGGGAGCCCGGTGGGGTTGGGGGTGGGGGCAGGGGGAGAGCTGGGTTGGGCTGACCATGTCTCTGGCAGTGCCGTCAAGGGCTGGAGCCGCCTGGCAGGCTCAGCGCACACGAGTGTCTATGGCACCAGCCTCCTACGCCACATCAGGGTCATCTGGGAGATGTTCAAGTTTGAAGTGGCCCTGAGGTAAGTGGACAATTGAGGCCCAGCGGGCACATGGGGGGCCAGGGCCTGCTCCCCACTGATTTGCTACCCCTCCTCTTGCCCCCCTCCCCCCCGCCCAGGCTGGAGACCCTGTCCATGAGGTTCACAGTCCTCATGATTCGAGTGCTGATGCACCTGGACCTCATGCCCAGGGACGAGGGGCTATATGAGTACCTTGCAACCTAGGGCCCTAGAGCAGGAGGCCCAGACTGGAGATGTGGACGCCCCCCAACCCGGGACACTGGAGCAACTGTCGGCTTGAGTGGGGGGACCCCGGGGGCTCTGACCACTGGCAGGGCCAGGAGGCCCTGCAATGACCACACGTACTTCTCAAACCAAACAAATCTTTCTCCTGTGTTTTGTACAAAAAAAGGGGCGGTGGCAGTGGGGGGGTCTAGAAGTGGGCAGTGACCCGGTCCGTCTCTAACAGGTCGTCCAGGATCTGTGGGGAGAAGGCAGATAAGGGGCGGGGCAGGGCGGGGTGGGGTGGGGTGGGATGGGGAGGTAGGCGGCTTGCTCACAATGTCAGGTGTGGTGCCAATCTTCTTGGCCAGCTCGCTGCGCTCCATGGTGCTCAGGTACAGGTAGCGGTTGAGCAGCTCTCCGTCCAGGATGTTCCGCACGGCATTCTGCAGGGTGCGCCGGTCCACGTGTAGCATCCTGGGGAGGTGTGAGGCATGGGGAGCTGGGCAGACCTGGGGGAGGGTGTGTGTGGGGTGTGGGGGGTGGGAAGCAGAGGCATGCTCACCGAAAGGCGCGGGGGTTGAGGCCAGCGTGGTGGGGCAGCATGGTGGTCAGCGCATTCTGCAGCATCAGTAGCCGCCGGTAGGTCTTCTCCTGCATGGGCAGCAGGAGCCCAATGCCGCCGTCGAGGGTGGCTGTGGGGGACAGTGTGAGCCCGGTGATCCCAGCACCACCTGCCACCCGTGCCACTGCCCCTCGTCCCCACCCACAAGGCCCTCACCGAACCACGTTATGTGCTTGTTCTCCCACATGACCGACTTCTTGCTGGGCCCCTCAGCAGCACCTCGGCACGGGGTCCTCCAGAAGGTGTTCACGTGGGCACCCACATGGAAGTCCGCCCGACGCAGCAGACGCATGCCACCAAAGCTCTCCTTGGCTGGACCAGAGAGACTTCAGGTCATAGCCCGCCCAGCCTCCGCCCAGCCCCCACCCTGGGTCAGGGAGTACTCACCCTCCGGAAGGTACATGTACACCATGAGGTTGCGGTCACGGTCAGACACTGGAAACAGAGTTCCAAGTCAGCCTGGTCACCACAGTCTCAGACAGCCCCAGACCCCAGTCCTGCACTCACCCAGGAAGCCCAGTTGGGTGCTGTCCACCATGAAGTCCACGCTGTACACTTCCAGGGGCTTGGCGTCCTGGGGACCGAGGGGTGGGTGTCACATCAGGTCCCCCTGGAGACAGGGACCACCTGGCACAGGGCCGTCCCCACCACCCAGGGTACCCGGGAGACGAGGCTGAGCGTCTTGCTGTCCTCCTGGTAGCGCAGCAGCGAGATGCTCTTCATGACGTCGGCGGCCAAGATGAAGTTCTTGATGCTGATCATCTGGTGGATGTACAGCTGGGTGTCGATGAAGGCCATGCCCGTCAGCTCGCTGGCACGCAGGCTCCACAGGAAGATCTGTGGTGGGAGAGGTGGCAGCCAGTGGCTCGCAGGCAGGCGGGGCCGTGGGTCGGCAAGGGATGCAGGGGCAGGGACCCACCTTCTGGCCGATGGCCGACACCAGGTGGCCATTGCAGTGGCAAAGGGCGGTCACGGGCCCCTTCTGCTCCTTTTCGTACAGGACCTTGAACTTGTTCTTGGTCAGGGGCTGGCCAGGCTCGGGCACCACCTCGATCACGTCCATGATCAGGATCCGCCCGCGGCAGGTGACCTCCTCCCCCTGCATGAGGCAGGTCCCTGCCGCCACATAGCCTTTGAGGCCGGACACGGTCTCCTCGCTGCGCAGCGACACCGTCTTCATGCAGGTCACGTGCTCCCACTCCTCCAGCTCAATCCTGCAGGAGGCAGGGTCAGGATGCAGCCCTGCTACCTGCCTCCCTCCCGCCCCACCTGACCCAGCCTCACCTGGCATTGGGGATGGCCTCCCAGCTGACTGGGGAGATGAGCTGGATGGAGAAGGCCTCCTGCTGGGGGTGGATGTAGCGGTCATCTGCAGAGACAGGGCTCCGGTCAGGGAGAGACGGTCCCAAGAGCAGGCCCAGCCTGAACGTCTCCTACCTCTCTCGATGGTCTCAAACTCCTTCTCCTCGCCCGTCATGCGTGGAATCCGGGTGCACGCAGTGTTGGTGCTGGTGGCCACAGCGTACACCTGGGGGAGGGGAAGTGTCACAGACCAGAGACCAGGCCCAGAAGGTCCCTGGCCTTCAGGGGGATTCAGACCTTGGACTCCACGTGGTAGGCCACATAGTGGGCTGTGCAGCGCAGTGGGATCTTCCTGACGGGCCACGGGGCATCATACGACAAGTAGGCAGGCAGGACACTGATCCTCAGCTCGCCCTGGGGGTTGAGGGCGTCAGTGAGGCCAGGCCCACAGGGTTCTCTGGGATTAGACCCTGCTCTGTGCAGCACGGTGAGCAGGCAGTTGGGGTCAGCCAGGGCAAGGGAGGGCCAGGACCTGAGAGCACTGGAGGCCGGAGGCAAAGGGTGGCCCACCCTGGCCATGCCAGGGCTGCACAGATAGGCGAGGGGCCCCTGCCAGGCCCAGCCCCCCTCACCCAGTCCTGGGTGCATCAGCACCATCATCCCTTGGGTTCTCGGGGGACAGATGAGGAAAGGGAGGCTCAGAGAAGGTGAGCGCCTACGGGCAGAGCTGGGGTCTCCGCTGACAGAGCAGTGACAGTGCATGAACTCCGGTTGCCCAGGCAGGTGCCCTCAACCTTCCCAGCAGTAAGCCCAGGTCTCACCTTAGCCTTGCCCCTCTGCCCCCCCGCCACCCCCCCCCTGCAGCTCCATCTCGTCACCAGCGTCTTGTTTCCAGCCCAGCACGACACCTGCCCTGGCAGCCCCACCTGGCAGCTACCTGTCTGTTGAAGTACAGGAAGCCGCGGGGGCAGTTGACGTTGTGGAACGGGGCGAAGGAGTCGATGGGGCCGTCGATGCCCATGGGGTGCAGCCGCAGGGCCCCCCGGCTGGTCACCAGGAGCCAGTGAGGCGAAGGCCCACAGATGAAGACCTGCGGGCAGCACCATGAGGGGCCTGCGGGGCGAGGCCCCCCCGCCTGGCCTCCCCGTCCCCGGCCTACCCCCGAGTAGCCGTAAATGTCCTCGAAGTAGCGGAAGCGCGCCACTCGCCCACGGGCCGCGGCCCCCTCCTCGGCGCTGCCGCCCTCCGCCTTTTTCTTGGACAGCTTGGGCTTCTTCTCTCGGAAGTTGATGTTATGGGGGACCTGGGGGGAGTTCTGTGAGCGCCCGTCCCTGCCCCACCCCGCCCAGCGCCCCCCGGCCACCCCCGCACCTTCTTGAAGCGAACTTTGAGGTTTCCCTGGCCGAGCTGGGAGTCGTGGGCAAAGGCCTCGTAGATGAGTAGCTCTTGGTCCACATGCACCTGGGGATGGTGTCGGGTCATCAGGGGCCTGGACGGCGCAGGCCCAGGATGGGGGACCGGGGCCCTGCCTGTGCTCACCAGCAGGTAGGGCCGGCTCTGGCGACTCCCGAGCGCCACCAGCAGCACCTCCTTGACGAGGGGCAGCTCCCCCTGACGCGTAGCCTCCTCCTTCCGGGCCTCGCCCTGCGTGGTGGGCTGGCCGAACGAGCTGTCCACCAGCACCCGCTGCCCCACCGGGAAGTTCTTCACCAGGAACACCAGCCGCCAGTCAGGGAGCTGGTAGATCTGAGGGGACGGGTGGTTAGTGGAGGCAGCAGTGGGGAGGGGCGGCTGCGTGGGCACAGGGCGCCACCCACCTCCATGGTTCCGTTCTCCCGCACCAGCAGGCACCAGTGTGTGGGCTCAGCCCGGAAGGGGGTGGGATCCCGGTCGGTGGGAGGCTGGCTGCTCCTGCGCGCCTCCTCCTTGCTGGGGCTGAAGAGGGAGCCCGAGTCCCCGTACAGCATCTCCTCCTCGTCATCCACTGTGGGGCTGGGGAGCACATGCATGTATCAGGGGTGGCCCGCCCCGGGGACCCCAGCCCCGAGGACCCCGGCCCCCCACACACCTGGTCTCTGAGCCTGGGCCGTCTGCCTCGGAGCCGCTGCGCCCCCCAAGCTCATCGCGGGCCCCGCCCAGGCGGCTCTCGGTGGTGAACATGCCACTGACGTCGCGGTATACACACATGGCGATCACCTTGGACTGCTGTGGGGGGAAGGGGCTCAGTGATCGGGGGGGGGGGGGGGGGGAGTGGGGACAAGGGGTCCGGGGGTGAAGGGGCCTACATGGTGCAGCGGCGGCTTGTGCAGAGCCAGGCGGTGGTGGCGGCCCCCGTAGGAGTCGCTCTTGAGCAGGAACATGGTGACGTGGCCCTCGGAGCTCATGATGACCACGTAGGGGTCAGCCACGGCGCACTGCACGATGGGGGAGCCCAGGTCCACAGGGATGAAGTGCAGTTGGTTCACTGCAGACACAGGCCAGTCAGTACACCCTGCCCCCGCCCGCCGGGCCACCTGCCCCTGCCGGGCCACCTGCCCCTGCCCGCCCACCTGCCCGCCTGCTGGGCCCACCTCCTTCCAGCAGGCGGATGCCGAGCGGTGACACTTGCACGATGTAGCGATTGTCCCCGATGTTGCCGGCAAAGACTGTGGGACCTTGTGTGGCAAAGCCACTGGTGTCCAGCTCCATGATCTCCTGCCCAGTCTGCAGGATCTGTGGGCAATGGTGGTGAGGCACACCCCTTGCAGGGGGGCCCACCCCAGCACCCCTTTGCCAGGCCCCTCACCATGGTGGAGTCCTCCCGGCTCAGAATCAGGAACCCGTGTCTGCGCCCGTCGTCCTCTGTGTCAGGGGTGCTGGGCTCCTGCTCCGCACCCTCACCCTGAGGGGTCTCCTCCTGTGACGGGAGGGCAGGCAGAGCACACACCTCACCACCCAGCCCCACAGCCGAGCCAGAGCAAGTTCTGGCGCGTCTGCTGGGACCTACACAGCAGGGCCTGCCCCAGCCTCCTCGTCCTCATAGAGGCATCACCGGCCATCGCCCCACGGGCCTTCTTGCAGCCTGGGGTGCACGCACCTGCTCCTTGCGCACAGGGGCAACCACTGTCCACATGTCATAGCAGCCAGGAAGTTCAAAGGTCGTCACCACCTGGGGCCGGATGCTCTTCTGGAAAGACAATGGGGTGCAACTGTCCACCCAGGTCCCCAGGAGGCCCCACC